CTGAAGGAGCGACCTTCTGTAAGCCTCTCCCTTCCACCAGTTAGTTGGTATCAAAGTGACATTTGGCTGTTGTAATCTTATAGCAACCTGGACATTTTACATCCATCATTTGGTGACGAAATGATTAGGTGATTTGGTCGTATTACTTGAATTATATCAAAAACGTTAGTCAAAACATTTCAACATTTATGTATTAAAAGAAAGAACACAATACTTTAAAAGGGTTTACAAAATCCCCTTACAAAATCTATTGGGCAAGTTAATATATTGGTGTATCATGAATTTTTACGATCTACTGGCATGTATATTCTATATACCAGCGTCGGATTAAAAACAGACTGTGGCCTATATCGAAGGTTGCTGATTGAAGGATCCATTTGAAATGTTGAACTAAACCAAATTGACTTTCGAAATAACTAGCGAGTGCAGGTGATTTTGCCGTTTCATAATTTAGGCCTGGGAGGCACCGAAAAAATCTTACCGTACAAATTTTTGGTGAGTTCGAAAGTGAGGATATCTGGATTTTCTGATATCCATATGGCTCACGTAGAACCCGTTTGTGAATTACCGAAATTGTCAAGCATGAATACTACTACTATGGCAGTTTCATTACGACTTAGACCATTCGATATGGTGAAGTCAGGAGAAGTGGCGAACCGATACCAAGACTCGAATTTCCCATTCTTTCATTGGAAATTTGTAAATGGAATACAATTTAAGTCTTAAATGTGTAAACTCCATGATGTTTGAATCAGAGTTTGTGGCAAGTACACAACATATCAGCATAAATTGTTATGTAAGCCAACAAAATGACTTTGCTTATCGTGGTAGTTCATATTCAATCCAAGTCGCTTATATGTCCAAATTAATCAATATCTCAGCGACTTTTGACATTTTATGTATTATATTTTTAAAATCAAAACTCTTTTGCGGTTTTTCGGTAATTACGTGCAATTCATTTACACCGATATGCACAACATGGTCTTTCCCACTTGTCTAATAAACTGATGCAACAAAATATTTTAATTCAATACTCCTTATGCATATTGCTAAGTTTCCGCCTCTTCAAGATTGCTGAACGGAACGGTCTTCATCACATACCCAAGGTGAATATAACGAATCAATTGCTTTAAAATTATGTTATTTTGTAGAAGCTAATATGGTTAAGTTTGCAATTTATTTAATATGACATTGCAGCCTGGTATAAGAAAATAATCTAAGTATCAATTGATAGAGGTCATATAATATATAGACATGATTTTACCACATATTTATAATACCGGTTTAAAAAATATAAATTTTAAATCATGATCACTCCAATTTTATATTGAATATCAGTACGCTATACCCAATTTATTTTAAATTCGAATTAGCGTTGAGTGCGGTTTATTAAATATCCAAATAACTGGCGATTTCCTCATCTGATAGAATCAACGTCGAATGTGCATCAACCTTCCACACAAGTTTAAAAAAATACTGGTATATACAGTACTCATATATATAAAATAATATGAATAGTAACCAAATTAAACCACATCACGCTCACTTCTCACCATGCTGTCGATTCGGGATTGTTCTCAGCTTGTTTTAACCCATGTGATCATTTCATGCGGTTAAATCGGTTTGTATTAGTCATGCAAATTATCAATCGTATATTTGATGATGTATCATTCAACTCAGTATGAAAGCAGACAAGTATTATTTAGTGTAAGTAGTTGAATGGAGATGCCTGTCTGTGTTAGCAAGCTATTTAACTGATAGGTTCTTGACCTGCAGTTTTATCCGGAACAACCGCGTATTTAAAAATAATGATGTATACGTTTGTGTTAGTGTGCAGCAAGACTCTTGAATTGAATTTAAAAATAAATATCGATTTCAACATGTTATAAATTTCAATAATAACGATTCGTGACGGTACATATTATATTCTACTCAATATATACATATATATCGTTAACATAAAATTCCACGAAACATAGGCGTTATCTCTAACAATTATTTTAAATCGTTGGAATGTTCGTGAAAAACCATTTCCATCACAATACAATATAAATTTCCATGGCCCGTGTTTGGTGAAATATATCAGACGAACGTTTAGTGCTTTGTATTGATTAGCCCTATGCGTAAAGTTGTGCACGTTTCTGATCTGTCTGCGCGTTTATAAACGCCTGTATATATAAAGCCCGAACAGGAAGATTAAAAAAAGCTCAAAAATTTGGCCGATTCAGATTTGTTAACGCCTACATTTGAGAATTTTATGCATTGGTGAAGTTATGGCGTGTTGGAACACAATTGCAGATTAGGCTACAATTTAAGGACTGCGTCACAGGAAAAAAGAAAGTCAGGAACTTCATGGCATCCAAATCGCTTCCAATTACTTTGTTAATGCTTAAATTTTGTAAACGCATTACAAATATGATTGTTTCCTGCTATACGCGAACCGTAATTGCCATAAATGTAGACTGTTACTCGTCAGTTATAGTCTGTAAGTAGCTTATATAAAAGGCGAGAGAGATAAATTTTGACTTGATATTTGGGTTGGTAGAACATTTTTAACAACATGTTTAGCAGAGGTAAGGGAAATGGATAGCCTGAAATTATTTGTTATTGCACACAAAATTTTCACCGCTGTCCTTTGTAGAGGGCGATTTTATGCATGGCCCAATTCACAAACAATCGGGTATAATCAACTTTCGGTACATCTATGATTTATGCTTGATTACTTGCTTAAATAAAATATCATTTCGCATTCTTTTCAAAACATAATGCGCGACTCAATTACATTCTGTCGTTTTAACTTTCTATGACAGGATTGAGAGCAAAAAAGGTTTCGTGCATGAAAAATTCAAACAAATTCGAGTAAATGCCACATTGATTTCAAATTTATCGTTGTTTAATTGATACGTTGGGGCTCTTGAACCACATGTCGATCACAAAATAAATTCAATTTGCTACCGTTCTTTGAAAAACTCGAAGAATATCGGGTTATCCGTTTTCCCTGAAGAATAAACAGATCGCTATCTATCGACCGTGTCTCGCTGAACGCCTGGTGGGAATAGTTAGTAGAGGCACTTAGTTTAGTGGAAAATGTTTAATAATAATTTATTTGGCCATAAACAATTGCCATGTGAAATTCAGCTTCTGCCACCAAGGGCGAATATTATTAATGCTGATTTATGAGAATGGTAAGTGTAACTTAAATTAAAATTTCCTTGGTTGAACTCAGTAAAAAAACGCTTGTAAAGTGTGATGCTTGGCCCATGTTAATAAGGAGAATTTAACATGGCTTTCAGTATTCGTTTGTAAAAACTGTCACTTGGACGCTAATTTCCTTTTTCTGACGCCATTATAACTGACATAGAAGTATTACGTTATAGTCGGATGATTCATTCATTTGTACTCTCTAGCTACATCATACAAATTCCTGGACGAAAAGTAATGAGCAATCGCTATCGGCCTGCGTTTTTCCTTTTTTTTCTAGAAATAAAACAACATGCATGTCGGAGGAAATCGAAAGGGCGTGACCAAGACCATGTCTGGTAGCTGTTTAATTGTAGCAATCGCCCGCGAAAGAGAGAGTAAAAACTGCGCGAAAAGAAAGAGAACTGCTCATAACTCGACGTCTTGTTGTGGGTGCAGCCTTTGATAGCAATAGCAATGGCAGCATGGCAGGTGTAGTGTTCCCCGAAAACGGCAACGCAATGTGTATTCGGCCAATGTCAAATACGAATGAGTACGCATTTGCTTCTTCGGACTTGTAAAATATTGCTAAGAGATAGATACCTTCAGACAGCGTTTCATGTTGTGTGTATTGGAACAAATTTATAGTGTTTTGAGTTACTATTGAGTAATCTGAGCGAACTGATTGGGATGAATATAAATTCAAAAATTGTACATAGGTACTGTATGGATTTTACACGATTATATTCGTGCGTGTGGCTCGAAATAACTTTGGTCTACATGTAACTAATCAATTATTTGCTTAACTTGTAATAGAAAAATATTTATACGAATATTTATTGCATAATAGGAATGATGAGTTCAAACTGGGCGCTATATATTTAACAATTGTTAGTCACCAACGTCTAGCATATCTCTTCATATATACTTTACCGATCAAGTGCATGTTAATTACGTGTTTCTCAGATGAATGCTATAATTTAACTGTCGATATTCACGATCATTCACGATGTTATGCATTGTTTACATGTAAACCTGGCTTAAATTTTGCGTTCATGCCCCCGGGCATGTGAATACTTTAGGTGATTCCTTTTCTAAATGTAATGTTTTGCCTGATGAAATCGAGCACTTAAATAATTATTACCATTGGCCAAGTATGGACTGTTAGTAATTTACTTAGAACCGCGATGAAGACCAGTAATTGTGTAGTGAACGACATAATTTGTACCAGTTGCAGATTCAAGGTAAACTCTTAGGCAATTAGAGGTTGTTCGGGTAACTGAGTTTGTTTTTGCGCATGTAGCTGGCAGTTTTCAGGATTCTTCATACAACAAGATGTATGAATGAATTGAAATACATATGCATTGACTAATACAAAATTACAGATGCCATGAGCAGAAATTTTTGTCTTCCAATCTCTCATACATATTTAGGAATCACTAGAAGGGTTACGGAGTAAGACGATTTAATCGCCAGGTTACATGCTGGGTGGTTGGTCGGGAGTTATTTCGCCAGTTCGATCACGTGATTGCTGTTTCGTTAGAAATATTTTCTGCTTCTATATCGACTCTACTAGAATTGTCTGCCAATCAGTCATTTTCATAGATATGCCTTAGCGGGTCATTCGTGGTACATTCATACAGTCGCCAGTATGAGTATGTAGCAGACAAGTGGATTTTAACATGATGTAAACTACATATTATTTTTTGTATGCTAAAACAGAAGTTATAGAAATTTTATCGTTACCTTATATATTTGTGACTTCTGATATTATCTCAAGTTTATAACTACTTATTTTTTATTTTCATTTTCACGATAGTATTTTGATACAATATTCCTTGCGGTGAGACGATTTAGCTTTTAGGCTATAACTACGGTGAATTTGGTATTCTATCGACTGTTGAAGAGCACTTACGTCTCGTCTTCGAGGATCACTTCATTGAAATCAGCCTTTTGGAGCGTTTTTCATTTATTTCAAACTAACTTTGTCAACAAATACATCGACATGGGGAATTTATGTAGCTGTATGGGTAAAAACGAAGCAAAAGCTGAAGAAACACCAAAGGAAAAAGCGACAGAAGAGAATGGAGAACAACAACAGCCAGAAAACGTTGAAGAAGCACAAAAAGAAGTAAAGGAAGAAACGAAAGGAAGAAAAGGCCGAAGCTAATGGCGGAGAAGCACAAAAAGCAGAAGAAAATCACGACGAAGCGAATAAGATGTCAAACGAAATTGTCAACGATGCAGTAGCAGAAGCCAGTCAGCAACAAGAAGCTGAAACGGACAAATGATTTAAAAAATAAACTTCAGACAGATTAATGGACCGAATATTTTTATCTGAGCAGATTGGCACAAACTGATTATTTTATTATATCTACCACCCATGACCACAAACTATTTTTTACAAACTTTTTGTCGTTAACATTTTACCTTACTATTAACAACCATTACCGGATGTGACTGTTATCTACAAGGGCGAAGGACATTGCAAATAGCAGGTGAGATCATATTTTATAGCTTCAATTTATTTAAAAAATATAAATGTGTTATAGTTTTTACCCCGAAGGCCACTATACACTTACATGTTGAGTTGTAAATAACTCGATCGAATCCCTCGTAACGATTTTAGTTATGGCTTGGGATGCATTTGGAGATTTGAATACTTCGAAGCTCAATCTTTATTACCAGGAACACAAATCAGATAAAGTAACCATACAGATTGATCTATCTCCGATTGCCGCTCACACTAACCGATCATAATCTGTGCATTGCTAATAAGATTAACCGATACAGTCAAAAGCTTATAATATTTACACAAATAATCAGGAAATTCTCCACGTGCTTTATATTAAATAGCTCATTAATTGAGTAGTATGTGGAGATTGGTCTATTATTTGCCGGAAAAACGCTGATGCAATTAAATATTGCAATGTCAATGCGATATACTCTCTTTCCTTATGATACCCAAGTAGTATCAGCACGAATGTGTAATTCAAGAAACATTTACGGCAACTAATTTCGAAGAAGATTATTCGCCACATAAACCACGTGACCGATGCGTGATCACTATACATTGAGAGCGGAACAATGACTGACTGTTAAGCCATTGCATTTGTAATTTTACCCCCCAGAGTGTTATTTGAAATCAATGACAACTGTTTAATATTACTACTACGCCTACCGCCTGTAACAAATATGCCGTTTGTGACGTTGGCACCCATGGGATCAGAGCTGTCCAGCACAACGCATTGTCTGATTTCCGCTTGGGAATTGTAATTCAACGTTTAGTCATCTTTCATCGTGGGCAATAAAGCGAAATATATTTTGGCTGGACGTTGCTGGATAGGAAAAGCCTGTAAATAGTATACGCTGACCATAATGAGTTTGATAATGCATTAATATGCTTCGAAAAAAATGTATAAAATATAATTCTAGAACCTAAAATAACCAATTTGTGGACTGGCAGTAGATTTTTGTCTTGATATGCATGTATGAACGAGTAGACATGTCGTAGTCTGTTGTTTTTGGCCAAACATGAGAATAATAATAGAAACTTTATTATCGTAAAAAGTATCTTGTTGCTAAGCAACGTTTTCCCTAAAATAAATTTATGCGAGAAACGCATTCAGACAGTCAAAACAAATATTGAATGAATGGATTCATTGTTTCGGAGCGGCAACGATAAAATAACTCTATTTTGTGATTGAATAAAGCGAAAATCATACCTTGAAGCCTATTAAAACTGTCAATATGAACTTGTAATATTTTCTTAATAAAGGAACTTAATTTTGGTGGCACTATAGTATTTTTTACCATTTGTTCAAAGTCCTTATGAGATTTACCGCCCATTTGCAAACGTAGATATATACCAACTAGTTGATATGCAAAAAAATATCTTACACCTATAGTCATGCAAAATATTTTGATAATTGAAATTCAATTTATTGGAAACCATTAAGATTGCACGATATTAAATTTTTCTTATACACAAATATTTCAAGGAATTTGCTTTGACGTTAGAAGCGCTGTTGTGAATACGCGATAAGTGTGTTTCTCCCTCGTCGAATATGGGAGTTACATGCGCACTATAATCTAAATCAGTGCTTCCCAACCAGTGGATCGCGGAGCTATTGAAGGTGGGTCGCCACCTGGAACGGGTGGGGAAGCACTGATCTAAATGATGAGCATAACGAAGGCTGTGAACGTTTTTGTGCAATACTTCATGGATCATGGATAGACTCACAAAATTTAAATCCAAACTTCTGTCATTTTCCGATATTGAATATAAACTTATTTTAATTCCAGTTTAAACATATCGAATATCGCTAGTCTTAAAGCATGTTTTAATTGCCGAGTATTATCATATATATCTGACCTCATTTTACACTTTTGAGAACTTTCACATGAACCAAATGCTCGCGGAAGACGACTGTTCCGATTCTCTATAAACGTGCCGAATCATGTTAAAATAGCCCCAAATTTACATAAATCGTATGACAAGGGAAGCAACAAAAATACCTCTGGTAGAGATACAAATTGCCGAATTTCGGTCTTTGGCCACCACAATTTAACCAGTTATATCGTTTCGATCAATTTCAAATGCAGTCAATATCTAGTATCTTTCTTGCCGGTACATATTTTTCCAGCTTTGCTAGGTTGGTTTTCAGATTTGAGATATAAATTTGAATCCCATCTTGGGAAGTATTTTTATACAATCGATATATCTTGCCCCACTGCTGGTAGCATATTTATTTCAATACGTAAAACGACCTACCTATACTTTTGCTAAAGCTTGCAAAAGTGTTAGTTTCGTCTCGTTTGATATCGGTGATTTTGGAATTTGCCTGTAGTTGAACGTAGATAGACACAAATCGTGGTTATAGTTTTTTTTTAATACAGTTGTGGATAAAATTGCACTTTTCACTGGCTGATTAAAATAGAATTATTGTAAGCATAGGCATTTCATACCCATAATGCCTTCATATGCTTCGATTAGTCCGCACAAGATTTTTAAAATCAACTCGTAGAGATTCAATGTCGACTCAGACCATGAATAATTCAAATACTTTACCTCAGCTTATGGGAACTGTCACCCTTCCGCCAAAATAAGCTTTCTCGTAAAAAGATAAAAGTTGTTTTTCGTCTACAAAGTCAAACAGTAGCAGTGCGATAACAATTTGCAAATCCAACAATTTTCCTTTCGAGAAGAATTCAAATTTTAACATATTCCAAATTTTGGGGCGCGTCGAAACCATTTATTCATATATATACAACGTTAATTAAAGCCATTACGGCTTATTGTATACGTCACTTTTGTCCCATAATAATATGAAAGCACGTAATATGTGAAATGTTTTAGTATCAAATCATAATATATATATACAATAATTCTACAGCCGTAGAGTTTTATTTTATTTATAATCGTCCACAACAAAGTGAGAATTTGATTTACACACATAGCCAGCAATTTTGCATATTGCAAGCTTTCGGCACGATTCTGTCAAATGAGTAATTGCAATTAGTCATTAGAATTAGAAGAATATTTGATAGCGTATCATTTCACATATGATAGACATTATTAATCATTTGTTAGGCTCTATAACAGCAAATGGAGGTGGAGTAACGTAATGAGTTTTCAATTTTGATTAATAGTCCAATTACTTTTCTAAACTGGTTGAATCGATTCTACAAGCCAGTCTCAATGCTTGATAAACTGATTACGAGTGCATGGAGTACGTGAGGCTCGTAACAGAGCGCGCACGAAGACGTAATGCGGCTAATTTCTCACAAAATACCAAGTGTTTAAATGAGTCACCATCTAGTAAAAAAATTAGCAAAATCATTTGATATACGTAGTTTGTCCACATCTCCGACTTATATTATAGGCTAAAAACAAATTGCAAATTATTTTAGAATGGTATCTCGGGATTGGATTACAAACTGCCTACCCGCGTTCCACGTTTCCTGTACCTTGAATAGGATACATTCAAGAGTTTTAATGCTGTTTTATAATTATGCCGGTTATATATTCAAGATACCGATCTCAATTTAAAAGCATCCAGTGAACTCTTGGGAAAATTGAATGGCAATGTAGTGGTTCTAACGGTTTGCCGCTAAGGTTAACTCACTGAAACCAGGACTTTATTACATATCAATGCGTATACGATTAGATTTGTCTTTTGTTATTTTCTCTACAAAATTCGATATTTAACTGATTCAGATCTGGGAGGAGAATATTATAAATGACGTTTGCAAACCCCTTTGCTGATATTTTGTCGATAAATTCGTCACAGTAAATGTCAACGGGCGTGTTTAATCCGAAATATTTGTCGAGACAAATCATTTCTAAGCAAATGAGCAAGGAAAGAATACTATGTAGGCAATAAAAATTGTGGTATGATTTTGCAGTTGGCAAAATGCTCTTTGTCTTTACTAAATCTTAAATACTGAAATATAGTTGCGTTTTTTTTTTGTCTTTTCAAGTCAATGATTCATGACCTTCAGTTTAAACATGATGGAATATTCAGATCAAAAATCGTTTTTCAATTCCTCATCATACTTTATGGAAGATCGTGTAACGTTATTGTGTTGCGCTCAATTTCACCTTTCTACGCTAAGACGCTGCGCATGTCGTAGCAACTCACGTTCTACTGACGTCACAACTTGTCTTTTTAGCGCATTTCCGGTGACGTTGATAAGTGATGATTTTTTGCCTTTGTTGCAACTGATTGATAAAATATTCGTTTTGCTTGCTCATTACATGCATCATTTTAAATATATTGATAGAAAAATCTGGGATATTTCAGTCGCAAATCTCAGTTCACATTGATTAAAATACTGCATCATTTTTTCTCAGAAATATTCCGTACCCTCTATCTATATTGTATGTATGCACGTACTGTACTGCGATATGGTCGAATTTAATTGGATTTGCAATTAATATAAAAAGAAAAACTTCTTTTCAATCTTTGAAATTTCTGGAACGTCTTGGATATGAGTATAAATTCGCCTTCAGCAATTAAAACTTTATGTTAACACCCATTTTCTTTTTTTTCGGACTGCCACACATTTAGTACAAGTAAAATGCCAGTAGGCCTGTATATTGAAACATAACCTAACATAATTTATTGTTGTACCCAATATTATTCGACGGAGTTTTCAAAAAATATTTGTTCAGAACAATCATTTAAATGCAACTGTGCAGATGAGTTTTATAAAACTGAAAATAAATTGTGGATTTTGAATTACTGAGTCCCGTAAGCGTCTTTCCTGAAGGTTAGCGAAGTCAAACTCTATCAAATTTATATTTTTGCTAGAATTATATATATAATACCTCCCATTTCAAACATTTATTTCTCACATTCACTTGTCCATCGCGTGTACAGTAATGCGCTCGTTGCGGTTATCAGGTTAATATGCTTTTGTGGTATAAATATCTAATTATCCAATGAATGAACCGTAATATTAAAAAGCTTGCATTCCAAATCATAGATCAATTATTTTATTTTGGAAATCTGGTCGTGGCTGGCTTGCAGACGGTTGTAGCGTTATACGCGGTCATACTGATCACGCCTTGAATATTTGTGGTATTTCTCAGTCACGTATACCGGTTAGTACTGTGTGGTAAACCAGGCATACAAAGAAAAAATATTGGGAATGAATAGTTTATATTGAAATTTCTGGTTCGCATTTACTGCGGCGACTGACAGTGACTAACGGTACATAATTCTGGGAAGGTCTGTCGATTGAGACAGACACATTTCAGTTGTGACCACCCCACAAATCATATCTACATCTTCCATGCAGAGATGAAATAATTTTCCCCGGTTTCATTTACAAATTTATTATTCACTAGGCATTTTGTGTAGAAGGGCAAGGTTTGTCTTTTACTGTCGACAGACTACCACCAAATTCGCTATTTTTTGTCTTTCAATGTTCATCTCCAAGACTCTAATCATAATTGATAGGTTTTTGTCTTCTGTAATCACCGTATATATGTAGGATATGTATCTGTGGTGGTCAATCAAGTAGAAAAATTTTGGTTTGCTTGAAGTTATGACTCGCGGTATCGGCATGTTTCAAGACAACAACGCAAAAACCAATTCGAGTATAGGCCTACTAAATTGCCTGGCGAATGTTGACCACATTGCGTAGAAGCCGTTCTGAACCAAAGTGATGACATTCAGAATAATATAAATGTCTATAACATTAGTAATAATACATCAGTTGTCCAAATATTCCAATAAAAGGCCTAGTTTTGTTATACAATGTTTGGTTGGTGATTTCAGCTACTTTATTTTTCCCAAACTAGATCATCTCATGGATTTGGATAAATATAATGCCTGTTTAAATTAAGCATAGTGTTAGTAAATAAATATAATTCAACCATATCTTCTGGGTTGAAATAGATACAATTGCTGAGATACATAGAGATCGTATACCAAGAAAACACTCAACTTTGCGCTTCAAGATATACGCTCATAGGCTACTGGAACAATAGCTTTTTCATAAGATATAACTAATTTGTGATTTTAAAATCACTTGACATGTCACTATCTCTTGAATTAAATACGCAGAATAAATGATCTCTATATCACGTTTATTATTTTCGGTGGAATGTAATATCTCGCTTTGGTAAATGGTCATTATGTTATTGTCAATTAGTATCGATTAATCTCGAAACGGCCAGATCCCTCATATTCGTGTGTGTGTGGCGTCAATTGTGTATTCCCGTTCAGTCGCGATACCATATATGGATAGAAATTTGTAGAAAAAAGTTTAAGAAGAGACTTGAAAATGAATTGCGGACAAAACGACTTGCGATCGATCCGCATTTCGTCGTGCAGTATTTTTTATGCTAAATCAGACGTTAATTTCTAATGCATCGGTGCAGTCAAGGCTCTCAAGCCTGGTATAATTGTTTACTTGACGTTTGAAGATTCTTGCACTTTTGATGTATTTTCAATTCGCCCGAATGCCTTTGTCTCGACACACCTATCCATTCCACTAAATCCATTTACGTTTGAGATTTAATCAGAAATCTAAAGTCTGAAAACCTTTTATAAATCGTCGTCAAATTTGAGTTGTTTCATTAGATTTCAACAAAATATTTCAATACGCAAAAGATACTTATCAAAATACGTAAGCTTAATTGCGAAACAGCACATAAGCAGCGTTTACGCACCCTACACATTCACGTAAATAGTCAATTGATCTAATGGACTTTGCCCGAAAAAAAAAAAAATAGATTTTCAGTCAGGTTATTTATATGATATCATCACGAGCCAATACACGAAGAACCTTATACGGAGTTTATCGATCGATTTTTGGGAAAATTTCGCAATAAATCCAGAATGAAATTCAAACAGTTTGTTAGTTGAAAATTCCACCAAAGGCCAGCTAATCGTGGGCTGTATATAATCTCATGCTACCAAATTATTTTTATTCCCTTTCAAAAACGATGATACATGCGAATATCGATTTGTAAAATGCACGAAACAGTGTGTGCAATGAGAAACTTCCGCTGCGGTTGTTTATTCAGTTTTTACAGTACATTTTGGGATTTCAAAACTTGAACTCTGATCCGTCTGGGCAGGATTACTTTTAAATACGAAATGATTTTCCATACATGATTTTCTCCGGTGGTCTCACTCTTCCACTTTTATGTAATAATAGTATTGCGTTCCATCAGGGCTAAGGACTACACAGCTGGAATTACATGCGCTACAATACAGGATTGGTGTGCATTAAATTTTTAAATTGAAATGGACATCAAGTCAAGTTTCATTTACAGAATTGGTCATGGCCTACATTAAATGATATTGAGCAAGTCGTTAGATAAAACATTTCAATCTCACTTTTCTTGCAAAATTAAACAATTTTCTTTTTTCAGGACTTTCTAGAAGATTTGCGACCGAGCCGTCTCCACTCCTCCTCGAGTCTCTTCCGGTGATGACGTCATAATTCGTCTCTTATTATTCTCTCATTTCGATTAAATTTGAGAGAATAATATTTAGTTAGTCAATTACTATTATGTCATTCTCAACCAAACGTGGCTGCTGCTGACTCAAGATTTTACCTTCGATTTATTATTCGCTTACGTTTGTTTTTGGATGATGTAATCGTGATTTGCAATTGTCATTTTTTGCCATTCTTTTTTATCCGTTTCGTAAATTAAAGCATTGTAGATAGATACTTTTATCAGCGGGTAAAACTCGATCTTCGTTAGAAAATCATTTGATTTTTCCACCACTCATTTGAAACAAAAATTTGCGTCCATGATATTTAAAATCGTACAGAAAAACCTTTATATATGAAAAAAAATTACATGCTGATCCGAATTTATTGTCAATGTAAAGAAAATTGATCATCGTATTTTTATTTTTCATTTGACTTGCCTGTGGCGACACTAAAGCATCATCGTACCGTCGAAAGCAGTATTATCAGGAATAGATAGAATCCTATTATATTCCTGTGATTTATCCATCAACTCGCGACAAACCCATGTGAATAGTCTCCCCATAGACGTTTATACATATACCATTCCAATTATTATGTAAAATTGATGTTTTAACTGTTGAATGTGTATGTAGCATATATATTCCACCATATTTTATTATTGTAAGGTTTTCCATTTGGAACAAATTGCATCTGAAAGATCCTGTGAACTAAGCACGTTTGGAAATTTGAATGTGTATTTTTTAGTGTGGATGAAATGAATGAGTACAATACATTTAAGTAATCTAAAAGTGTGTTCTAATTTTAGCAACCGTTGCGTAGTGCGGTGGTTCCCGCGTATTTGAGACTATATAACAAATGGTCAGGGTCGGACCATAGTAAAATTCCGATTCGCCTTATTTTAGTTTTATTACGAGTTCGGGGACTGTCTGTGTTAGCCAAGTGAATATACCCGCTGCCCATAGTTTTCTGTTACCTTCATATTGGTACATACACTTCTGGATCGCTATCCATTTTACTATTATCAGATGAAATGGCATTTAAATTTGCCTATTAATCGAATAGGTCATAGGAATTCATAATATTACCAGCAATCGGTTTCCATCCATGTAAAATTGCAGATCTGCAACGGCAGCACAATACAGAGATCGGGTACTGCTAAATTTAACCACTGCGTAAGTGATATAAGCTCAACGGGCTAAGCGTTAGGAATACGCTCGCCACCGCACCTCTAATTACTCTGCGTGGGTTCGCAGGTTCGAATCCCATGCAGGGATGGTTATGTGCGAGAGGATTGCTGGACTCCTCGCCGTCGTTGGGTGGTTCACGTAACCGCTGGTCGGTTACGGCTTCCTCCACCACCAAGTCCATGCTTCCGAAAACAAATAATACAGTAAAACTAATCCCATACCCGACTTGGAATGGTAACCGGACGAGAGGCCGTGGTTCGCCATATGGATAAGCCGTCTTATCGGCTTTCCTCTCCCCCGGGATAAATATGTAAATCCTATCCTATATACCAGGACTCCTGATAAAAACATGTTTACTGAAATTCCTCTGTTTGTGGATCATCGACCGATATAAAGACGTTCGTGGGGGATAGTATATTCTTCTGCGCAAGCACGAGTTTTCTCAACAATCGACACGATTTTTGTTGTTGTGGGCATCAATCCAGACTGAGTGAAACGCATAATCCGGGGCTCCCGAAGTATGCGAACCAAGATGGCGGACATCGGAATGTAATATGTGTACTAGGCCATAATTTTAGGTATAAATACTACGGGAGGCTCTTGGCTAGTCTTCGAACTGATAATAGGACTAAAATAAGGAAAATTGGAAAAAAAATTATCGCCTAACCCTAACCTGTTACGTTCCGATGTCCGCCATCTTGGTTCGCATACTTCGGGAGCACCCATAATCCACCATTTAGACCAGGGTGGTCCAAACTCAGGCCCCGCCGCTTTATTATCTGGGGCCCGCGTCACATTCGGAGAGTAATCAAAAAATCGCATTTCGTGTTGTCTCGTAATAAAATTAATCAGAAAAATCTTTTGACATATTGTTACATCAATAATGTCACTTAATTGACTAGTGTCTAAATTATTATCTGGCTTTCTTTTTTTTGGTCGGGAAAATATGCTAACAATATAGGCATCATAGAAAACTAAAAATCGAATGCGGATTCTATTAGCCTGAGATGGCTATGTCTGATAACTATGTGTTTGCACAATAAAAGTGTTTGTTTTGTATTGCACTGTTTACCTATTCTTAGCACTATTGTGGCCAGTGAACAATGCAAAAATAATTTTGTGGCCCGCGAAGCCGACAGCCTTGGACCACCCTGATTTAGACTCTACAGCTGGGCACAGACTGGTGAATAGCCAAACAGGCAGAACGACTGAGAATAAGGGTCACCAGTCTCCTAGAGCGGAAATACAATGGTAATATTTACCGTTACATCCGTTTCCAGCTATTTTAGATTTCTGCCAATCCGCTACTGAGGTATTTCCAGCATTATTACACATTTTCCAACCAGATAGATGGTATTTTCACTTCTATTCATTTTCAATAAACAATAATGCTTTTTTGACCAATGCACGAACACATTTAGCCATCGCACAAGACAGGAACAACAATAAAAAAGCCAGGATATCAAGTGAGGTACAAAATAATAACAAGTAGAAAAGAATAATGATAATTGAACCAACTGAACACCATAAATTATGACACAATAGCACCATATTCAGCAAAATTGCATCATTTTTTTTTGAAATTCAACAGCGAAAAAAGAATAGGGACATACTTATGGTGGGTGAACCAGTGTGGGTATGTATCAAGTCTATTTACTTGGATAAACTTCATAAATATTAGTCTATGCCTCACAATGTAATTATATATTACACAAAAAGTAGAATTCGGGAGATGTCCAAACACACCAATAGAATTATTCAGGATACTTTCAAAGGGAAAAAATAATCATTTTTAGGGAATGAAATAGGATCAAATACATGCGTCATTCAACTTTTTATAATTGTAAAATAGTAAACCAACCAGAACAATCTTGTCTTAACGTTTTAGTTGGATACTGAAGCAAACTACTTTGCAATACGATTGAAAATCATTCATAAACGACAAGGTAAAATACACCCAAGAAGTATATGAATCTGGACTGGAATCCAATAATAATTTGAAGGAACTAGGAAAGAAGATCAAAGAACTCTGTGGTAGGTAGAAAAAATAAACGAAAATAGAGTTGGTTACATACAAGAGAGATGTCTATGGCCGAAAAGTGTGAAGTGCACATTACAGATTTTCTGAACTTAACCTAATGTACCGGTAATGTTCTATTTTACACGCGAATCAAATCTTACAGAACCATACCAATAAATATAAGAAAGAGCTGCAATCAAACGTATTTGGAAAAATTTGTTTAGCTTATATCAGTACCATGCCTGGAAAAGCAACAGCAGAAATGAATGGTTCATGAACTTTAGTTTGCTATCGTGATTTTGATAATATGAAGTGAATTTATTTGAGCTACATAGATGAGATATGCAGATTGCCAATGTTATTCGAAACAAAGTAAATAGAAAGGTTTTAGAATTCTACATTTAAATACTTTCTGACATGGAAACCATTGTAGATAAAATTGCTACAACTTTGTGAAAAGAAAACAAACGCATCAAAATGGAACAAGACCTCTCGGCCACTGACACCTCTTGTCACTCATACGTAGAAATGAAGAAAAATAGTCCACAACACTCATAATAGAAAACAGAAGCAAAGAAACTCACATATACAATTGAATGGTGTGCAAATTATCGAGCAGATGATTCATGCCGCACAATTATTCTATTGAAAGTTTAATTTACATGGCATGCAAAAGTTATAAGATTTTGGAAAATTTGAGCACTTGTGTAAAAGTAATGGCCACTTATAATTTTAATAAACTCATTTTTAATTACTTTGGAATGAATAAGTATTTATCGAGTCCAGAGCAATTTCAGCGTTGCATGTACAATGCACAAATAAACTTTGTAAAATTAAGTAAATTTAACATATAGTTTTTCTTCAGAAAAGCTACACCGAACATATCACAGTAAAAATAACATTATATAACAGAATCCTGCTATGATGTCACGTAATGCGGAATTGCTTAGCTTAACTTATCATTACGTCACAAATCACAATTTTATTTCGCTGTGTCAGCATGGATTATGAAAATACCAAGCGTCATATCAAAGGCCCATACATAACCTCATATAAAAAGCATGCCACAACCTGCTTCAACACACTACCTTGTGGTACAGTATTAGAGTGTATGCAACCAAATACTGGTGATATAAATATGCAGAAAGCCAACATAGTTGTTGTGATCCTAATTTATAAAATTCTATATGAATTGCGTATTGCAGTTTTACTCTTTACAAAAATAAATTTATTCTGCTATTTGTTGAAAAAGTTCTTTGAATAAATATTCCTCTCCTGCTAACAATAGTTTGTTATGCCGTTGTTATTTTCCTTTCCCAGTAAGGCGCTTGGAAAATTTTTCTTCCTCATTCATCGCATTTTTGTATGCTGTGAATTTATCTGAAAAAAAGGTAAATTAATTAGCTCTAAGTATTATCTGATCAAGAACATAGTTGATTTGCAAAGTATAGTGCTTTTCAAGAGGTGTTTTATATCTTCACAGCTCTCGAAAAGCAAATGCTTATTTAGCAATGTTCTACATGGGTTATGATTCTATTTCAAATAACATAAAATTTTGACGATCCAGAACTAATGTGTGTACCAATATGGGGGTAACTAATTTTGTTCGCCTACTTTACATCAAGTTGTGTAAAGGGACTGAAACCTATGGGTATATTCACTTGACTAACACAGACAGTCCCCGAACTCGTAATAAAACTAAAATAAGGAAAATTGGTACACACACTACGGGAGTACCAAAATTTCACAGATAATGCCGTAATTTCATTAATTATTTGATTTAACTAGAATAGAACTTAAGCCTGGTTTCTTAGCTTGTTAATCTAACCTGACAGAGCTGTCATTTCTTCTGTAAAAACATCGCAAGCATTTTCCATTTGATCGGATATTTGTTGATGATATTGTTCACCATCAAATTCGACTTCTTCTGTTTGTTCAAGAAGTCTTTCGAATGCTTGGACTTGCTGTTTAATCTATGGGAGGAAAGAATAAAGTAATGTAATGTGCCAGAAAGCAAATGGCAGAATGAATTGGGAGTGGTAGAAGCTGTCACCAGAGAGCATCAGGGTGTTGAAAATTGAGTGGGATTCGTCTAACCCTGACATGAGCAAACTATGGCTCGCCGACCAAATCCAGCCTGTTGAGTAATTCAATCTGGCCAGACTGAATCAAATTTTGATGTTTTTGCTAAAAAAAAATAGCTTGAGATTGCGATTAAACCAGCGCAAAACAAGTAAATGGGGATATGACAGGTTTCAACCACCTATCCCAAAGATGGAGACAGCTATTGAAATGGCTCAATCACATGGTAACCCACATGGTAACAGTCCCTTGTCCAGTTATCAGTCTAGTTATGGTGTGTAAACAAAGTAATTACATTTTTCTCTTTAGACAATGCTTATTCCTGCCCCCCCATGACATGAAAAAAGTTACTATTTCGGGAAGAATTGAAATGCCTGTGGTTCGACATTGCCTAACTTTTTCGTCGCTCAAGAAGTATGTGTGCCAATATGGAGGTAACTAATTTTGTTCGCCTACTTTACATCAAGTTGTGTAAAGGGACTGAAACCTATGGGCAGGGTTATATTCATTGGCTAACACAGACAGTCCCCGAACTTATGATAGTACTAAAATAAGAAAAATAAGAATAGAACTATGGCCTAACCAAACCTGGTACACATACTACGGAAGTACCACTTTTTTACCCTTAATAACCGCTAGGTCTTCGCGTCCAAAGCGCAGGGACATAGTCACTACTCACTAGTATAACAAGACTCACTTCCGCAATAAATTTTCTATGGCCTTCCACAGCTTCCTCCTCTTTTTCTTGAAGGGTAGAAACAGTTTGATGAATCTCGAGCATTTCTCGTGATATTTCATTTGTCTGACAATAAAATAGGAAACGTTGATCAAAAATGAAATATACTAAAACTCAATAATAAACTCATTATTTCATTGTGAATACAGAAAAAATGGCAAATTTTACATAAATACACACAGATGAATATGTAATTTTATTTTTTTTACATTCTCAAAATAAAATATTTTCCTATCTATCATCATAAATTTCAATATAATCAATTATTAACTAAAACTTACTAGACACACTTGGTAGACTTAAAATAATAAACATGTACTACCGTTGAGATTATTATACCAAAAATGGAACTGATTTGAGTGAATTATTTAAGGGAATTACTCGAAGCAAGGTCAAGCACACTCACTCAGAAGTAAAGGTGACTCACCTCTGGGGAGAAAATACACAAGACAAGTGTGTGAAAAGCTAGTACTGTGAATCAATTTCATGGGATTTTTATTCAATAACAGAGGAAGACTACGTAATGAAGCATTTAGATTCTTGCAGACTTACTGGTACAGATGCTGCAAGAATAGCTAGATCACTTTGATTAGGAGACATAGGTGAAGGTTGCAAGCCATTCTGATGATGGGTTGAGAAAGAACCAGATTCTTCCTTTATTTCTTTCAAATCTGGTAGTTGTCCGTTTCTTTGTATTTGTTGGGGTTGACCATCATTAACGTTGTTTGCTGGTAGTTCCTTCACTCTGAATATGTAGATAGATTTTATGGTGAGAATTAGCATTGATCACATAAATTTATATTATCATCCCAATATTTTTAAACAGTCAAAATTTCAAATATAATATGATAGGAAAGTATTTATTTTATTTAATTGTGAGTTGCACACTAACAACTATATTTCTGTTAAATTTCCACTTACATAGACATACATAATTTAATAAATACAACAATAAAAGCATAACAAAATAAAACTTTGCAACAAATAATATTAAACGTAAACGACAATAAATTCCTAAGACAGCTAAATTGATCAATGATTACACTCACTAGTCACTACAACACGCTAAAAGCGCAACAAATTTTTTTTCATACATATGAGCGAATTGACAAAGCATTTTACACATAGAGAAATCTAAGGGAAACTTTAATAAACTGGCGTGCAATAGTCATAGCTACCAAACACATTTAAAACAATTGCGTAAGGATAGGATAGTAACTAGTAACAATATAAAAAATATCAATTTTTTAATTTTTTATATTGGATTCAATGACAACCATTCCACATAAACACAACTTCGACAAAGATTGATGCAAATAAATTGAATCACACAGACAACGACCATCACAAACTTTGATAAATCTCTGCTAATTTTTTGAACATCCTCTAGATCAGGTATTTTCAAATCAATGAAATCTTGATCAATATCTTCATCCTCGTCTGCCGATATATCGTTATAATCTTTCCCCATATAACGAGAAACCTCCGAGGAAGTGAGAATATCTAAGTCTTCTTGTAGACTAAAACATCCTCTCAAATTAGCATACCCGTCTGCAGCCCCTGAAAGCAGATTTTGGTCGTACCCAGGTTGCTGATCTGGTGGTCCACCACTGTACGTGGATAGGCACGTATCACTATGACTGGGCCCCACCCCAAGCGATGGCGATTTAGACATAATAGGTTGCAGCGTTATATCGTCATATTCTTCGTCAATAAACTCTTCCACCTCATCAAAAATTTGGGGTTGGCTTTTTCGAGCAGATTTTTTCGTTGAAGATGATCGTTTTTTACCAATGTTGGAATTTCCTGTATTGCGATGTGCTACAGAAGGACGAGTAACTCTCGTGTCGGAATTTGAACGAATTGCTTTCTTATTCGGTTCAGATTTTCGGCCCACGGCTGTAGGAATTAAGGATCTACCATCTCTAGATGGTGGTGTTACAGAATATCTCTTTAAACCAGATGAAGAAACAGAAAATTCTTTGACTCTGATCACATTTAACAAACATTACAAAACAAATTAAAATCCGTGCACATGCATTTATGGAAAAATGTACCATATTGTATTCCAATCCAATTGTGAGCAAAAATAAAAAAGTATTTCAGTTTAGAATAGATTTTAAGTGTCATAACATCTACACATCAGTATTTAATAAACACATTTATTGAGAAAGTGTGATAAAGAGATCGAGTTTTTTGAAAGTATGTACTTTTCAGTAAGTCTCTAGCAGTGATGTAATGTAACACCAGTAAGTTACTCATTTCAGAATGACTGGAAGAGATATCTAGTTTGGCATAATCTACACCAGTTATTCGATTCTAAAAGTGGGCGATACCACACCCAAAGGGGCAAGGTGCTGAAGGTGCTCAAATTTAGTGGGGTCTTCTAAACATTCACTCAAAGCATAAACACTCTGTTACTTGAGCAGAAAAACTGGGGATTTTAAGAAGAAGTGGCAAATGTTGGAATTTCGAAGAAATTTGTATTTGAAAACATTTCTTTACGCTGGTATTTATTCAATATTCACCAAAGTTACATGAGTTTAAAAATCTAAAATGTACATTTTCTCGTTTTCTTAAAACAGCCTTTTTAAGTCTCGAAATGTCTGTAATCAAAAATTTCTACTCAAACTACTCAAAAGATTAGTGAATTACAATCACGTTTGTTATTACCTGTCAGCATATCGCAAAGAGTTGAGTGAGTGTTCGCAACAGTTAATTCCAGGTGAAACAGTTGCAATCATGCAGGTTCTTGATCTTTCACCGATAAAAGAATCTCGCAGTACTTGAGTTAAAGTACTCGCACGAAAAGGGAGATGTTCTTGGTTTTTGCTCATTGCTCGAATACATTCCTGAATAAAGGGAAAATACTATTGAAAATGTTCCGCTATCATACCTTATTAAATATTACGTAGTGGATCATCCCGTGTTTACATTTGTGTCTTGAATGCTTAGATCTCAATGTAAGATATGCATAAAAGGCAGATGGAGTTTTCATGTCCAAATAAAAAAAATATTTCAATTGATAATTTCAGTACCATGCACTCAGGCACTATGAAGTTTTCATGTCTAAATAAAAAAAATATTTCAATTGATAATTTCAGACCAAGTTGTCTCAGTTGCTATCCAGCATGATCGCACACAGATAGAAATTACAAAAACTGTAATTTCAGTTTCAGAAATGCAAGAAGTTATACATCATTGACAACAGTATAAAAAAATTTGAAAAGATAAAGGAAACAGAAAATTTTTAAACAGTCTTAGTCATTTTTACAGAAGAAATGACTTTATATAGAGCAATAAAATAGTGAGGATCAAATAGCCAAAACTTCAAAACAAATACTTCGTCCCCAATCAGACTGTTTTCAAAGATTTAATTATATTTGTTAGACCAGTGGTTTTCAAACAGTGGGGCGTGGACAATTTTTTGAGGCGGCGCGAAACTAATTGAAAATAAAAATATTTGTCAGATTTGTACTTGCCCGCCTTGTTTTGGATATTAACATTTCTTTATTTTGGATATTTACGCCTCGTCCACGTATTTTCAATGTGTTTATTGAATAAAACATACTTTCGCCTTAGTATCTGTTATTTGTAGGTTGTGGCTTATTGTTAGCTAGATATTTTTGAGGTGGAACGCGAGGCTTGACAAATTCTAAAAAGTTTGAGAACCACTGTGTTAGACCAATGGTTTTAAACCAAGGTTTCGGTTCAACCTAGGGTCCTGCCAGTACTGGACCATATAATATGGCTATCGCTCAGCCTTACAGTGATAAATGTACGGGACAAAAAGGCAAAGATTTAATGCAGCAACAAGAGCAAAAGAAAAAAAATTATGTATTTCCATTCATTGCACACCCCTGTTCTAGAGGCAGCAGGTTTTAATCCCATATTATAATATGTAGTGGTATATTGTTTAAAATAATCCAATACCTGTTTCGCCACTATTATTAAACTTTCTACACCTTAAAGATCATGTTGTCTCACCTATACGAGCTTACTTTTGTATATATTTATAGTTTAAACAATTCTTACATTTACATCTTGAAAATATTGCACATGCGTTCCTAAAGTCTATGGAATGTTTATTGGTTGAAAACGACTGTGTTGGATATTCATATTTTCAAATCAAAATCAAGTATGGGCCAGACAGATTTTCCAGAGTCTAAAGTGTCTCCAACTATAAACTAAATCAGACAGTTACACATCTGGTGCATGACAATGAAATTATAAGACAATAAAAAAGAAAACAGATGTCCTATAGCTAATTTGACCGTGCATAACTACTGTAAATCTGTATTTATTGATTGTTTAACAGACAAAAGTCTTCTGCCATTTATTATCATTTGAAAAGTGGCCTACTGTAGGAAAGAGAGATCAAGTGTAAAATTTGAAATATTTTGTTGTTTAATTCCGTAAATTTTAATTCTAGGAATATCTAGAACAGTGGTTCCCTACCTTTCTCTGTAAATTCCCCCTTTTTTTATTTAATTTTTTGTGTATTTCCTCACGAATCATGAAATCGCTGCTTGAGGAGGAAATCCTCAGCAGTTGGGACACGCTGAACTAGAATTATCTGGGTAATACCAACTTTTCATTTCAGGGTAAGCAGTAAAACTAGCAAAGCGCAGCTCCTAAAAAATCCAACATTTCATAAAGTGGGGAAACTAATATTTTGATCATATTCAGTGAATACCTTGAAAAAACAGACTAAAAAAAAATTAAAAAACAGTACAGTACTAAAAGTACAAGTACTGAGAAACAATAAAAGTACACAAACATATTCTATGAGTAATTAATCCTATTCCAAATGATAAATAAACGTCACCTTCAAAGCTAATAAACTTTTATTGATTTCTGATCCTTCAATTCTTGTTTGTCTTGAAGCACTCATTGTATCTGCTCCTCTTTCATTACCTGATTAAACAAATCATCTTAATGATTTAATATGGGAAGCTGATGATTTTAAAATAATCAGTATTCGGAACTTAGAGTTCAAAAGTCAGTTCCTTCATACCAGGAAGTAGGATATTCTAATTATATTTTTGAAATCTGATTCAAATCGGAATTTGGAATGTTGTAAATTTCTTTGACACATAGTTATGAAGATTTCATACAAAATGCTGTTTTGTAATTCAGTTGCGAACAAAAATTATCATTTTTCTACTATATCCAAATTTCAAAATAATTATTGGTTTTCGGGCAACAAGACCTTTATTAAGTTAATCAAGATTTTTATATTTCACCCAGAGTAGAGAAAAGTAGACAGCACAAAGATATGGCCGATATAGGTATTCGCTTCATAAGCATGGATGGACTTGATTGTGGAGGAAGCGGTAACCATCCGACGGTTATGTGAACCACCCTGCGATGGCAAGCAGTCCCGCAATGCAGGGAATTTATATATTTCCCAATTATGACCAATTCTAAAATTACTGTAAATTATATGAGTTGTCTCAGTTGCTATCCAGCATGATCGCACACAGATAGAAATTACAAAAACTGTAATTCCAGTTTCAGAAATGCAAGAAGTTATGCATCATTGACAACAGAATAAAATTTTTCAAAAAGATAATGAAAGAAACATAAAATTTCTTGCCTGCAAGATCAATAAGTGAAAATTTTCCATGCAAACGTTTTTTCTCGCGTAAAATAATTTGAAAAACAGCATGCGATCTGGATGAATGTTGATTTGCTGATGTAACACCTGATGTTCTGAAATTAGTGAAAATAGATGGTTTTAAAAAGAACAAGAATGTGGCTTCTTAGCATTATTCATCATTTCTGCAATTCAGATCCAGACTCGATTAGAGAAGCATTCAAGAAAACAGTAAAATTCTTCTTTGATAAACAATATTCAAAATGAATTTGCCATTTTAGAATGGATGACATGATTAGGGCTTCCCTTACCATCCAGATTTGGTGAATGGAAAGTTGAATTCGATAAACATTTCGCAACAGGGTATGTGGTAAGCTAACAAGCAGATACTGAAAATCTGTACAAGCTAAAGAATATATTAAAACTGAACCTAAAATATAAAAAGACCGAGGTAAAAGGGGGGATATATAAATAGCCTAGTCAGCACTATTAGATGTAGTAGTCAGTCATGATAATTCTTATAGTTGTCTCAGTTGCTATCCAGCAGGACCGCACACAGATAGAAATCACAAATACTGTGATCTCCATTTCAGAAATGCAAGAAGTTATACATCATTGACAACAGAACTTTATTAATTATCTTATTACAGATTTTTTGCTGTAACCCTTCAATGCAGCAATATCAATATTTCAATCTCTCCTATTGTGTTGACATCTTAGATTATACATCTCAGGTTTAAATCCCATGAGCCATGCCCCCACCTCACCCAGTGTCATTTGGGTAAGCAATGATGAACTGGAATATTTCCGGTATAGTAAATTAGAATGTGTCAAGTTTCGCGCCACACCACAAAAATAACTAGCTAACAATAAGCTACAAATAACAGATAGTAAGGCAAATGTATGTTTCATTCAAAAAAAATTTGAAAATACGTGGATGGGACGTATATAATGAAGTGAATGGAGTTTTACCAAGCAAATTCGTTGTTATTTTTACTACTGCAGTTGTTTTTGGCTGACAAAATAAGCGTAAATATCCAAGTTAGCATGGACAAGCTCAAACCTAACAAATTAGCTTCACGCCCCCTCAAAAAATTGTTTACGTACCCCTTGTGGGGCGCGCCCCAATGTTTGAGAACCACTGTTCTATATGATATTACTTACCTGCATTTAGATGCTTCTTGAATTAATTGTAAAATATCATCCATATTTGAAACTTGTCTTTCCACTAATCCAACAACTTGAACTTGTTGGTTTCTATCCTCCAACACTCTCAGGCGTGCCTTCTTATTGAGAAGATCAAAAACCTTTAAAAACAGAACAATAACATGATAACGTAAACAAAATTTAAATATGATTTAAAAAAAAAATCATTATTTAAAAAACACTCAATTTTCAAAGGAGAGTTTTATTAACACTATCAATGTATAATATAAAAATTTAATATATTTCCAATAATACATATTAACGCTATTAATACTGAAAAGTATGAAAAGTTTGTGAATAAAACAATTTATCATCCAAAAACAATACTTTCACTCGATTTTAGCAATTTTTTTAGCCCCTTCAGATATATTGAAAGCAGTACAACAAAATAAAGCTTTTGTTTGATAATTAGAACATCCCCAAATAGCAAATCATGCAGATTATTTTGGTTTGTAAGAACAACATAATCTGTTTCCACGAAATAGCAAGTATATTCACGAGCTTTCGTTAGATCATAGTCTAACTTCTTCAGATGAAACAAGATATAACTTAATATACAACGAATAATGATTATTAAGGTTTGCTTGAAAAACAAGTAGAAACAGATGGAACACAGATAATAAGTTTTATAAATTATATTTCAATGGGATTACCATGAATTTTTCTAACTCAAAATGTTGATATCCTAGATTTGAATTTTCACCCTAATTACCCAAGTTGGGATGAAAACGTCATATAGTTGGTCAGTTATCAAGATTAGAACGCTAACAATTGTTTGAACACATTACAGTAGATGACAACAAAACATCTTATGTTCTCAAGACTTTTTAGGCAATGGTACTTGAGTAAAAATATCGCTTAGAGGAGTGCTTCATTAGGTTAACTCTTTACGCACATTGTTTTGTACAAAGTCCAAAAGGTTATCAGTTGAAACAAATACAAGTGGATTCTCAGAATTTTCACAACGAAGTGAAAAGGTTATTAAAGTACTAACAGGTTCCCATTATGCTGGCAATACAATGGACGCGAGCCACAGCCAGTTAAAGGAAGGAAATTTTTGATTTTACTCATTTATGACTGACTGACTAACTCTGACATGGGCAATCTATGGACCGCATGCCAAATCCGGCACATTGGGTAATTCAATCTGGCCTGCCTGATGCTGCCGCATCCAAACTAAAACCAAATTTTGGTGTTTTAGCTCGAAAATAACTCAAGGAATTTGTTGAGATTACATTACATCTAGTTTTGGCACGAGGCTTATAGTTTTCCAATTTGCTTGTACCACTGTAGATATTGTTCATAAAAATGTAGCTCTTTATGTCATATTACATGGCCCGCCAGTCTAGGTGGGCAAAAATTTTGGCCCTGTTCCAAAAAACTTGCTCACCCCTGGACTAACTGGTAAATCATTTTTATTAAACGATGAAATTTTTCATGGCAAGTATATAATTTACACCAAACAAATTCAAAGTACTCACCTTTCCGCTATATATTTCGAAGAAAGTGCAATACACAGTGAAATTATGATGTTGATAACTTGGTGATTTCAGAAGATGGAAAACATCTTGAGCTGAAAAAGAATTAGAAAACATTTAACTATAAATTCAACATTAAACAGAATAAATGTATTTAATCGAGCAAGGCTGTAAACACTAGGAAAAGAAAATATATAATCGTAATAAACCTTTGGCGAGGAAAAAAAGGACAAAAGCTAATTGTGTGATCTTGTGCATGATGTACTATAAATTTTCAATGTTTACAGATTACAGTATATGTCAGTATTTCAATGATATCTATAACTTAATCAGAGTTTAATCCCTTTTATTTCTAGATAAATAGACGCCCACTCCTTTAATTGAATTCCAAATTTAGCCAATTTTATCCTTGCCTGTCTAGTGAGAGCTTATGGTTTAAAGTTGCTTAGTAATGTAACAAGATATGATAGTTGTCTCAGTTGCTATCCAGCAATATCGCACACAGATAGAAATTACAAGTACTGTGATTTCCATTTCAGAAATGCAAGAAGTTATACATCATCGACAACTGGAATTTGATTATCTCCGTGATGGATAATTGTAGACAAAAAAAAAAGCAAAATCATTCAGATTATTAACACTTTTTTCTCACTGAAATAGGACAGTAAAACAATTATCTCACCAGCTAAGGCATATATTCCCTTGCTTGCATCTTGCATTTTTCCTGTTGTAAAGTCTCCACCCATTGTCTGGAAAATAAAGTATTGTAGAATAGTTAATTGATCATAATAGCCTATTTTGTTGGGATCCTCCTCAAGTGTAAAAATATGACTTCAGCTATGTTGAAACGGTAAAATTGTAGTCTTTTTATACCAACTTCACCATGCATATGAACAAAAAGCATTTTATGCTAATAAATTCATGATATGCAAGCCTTACATGTGTTTTTCCGCTCCCAGTTTGACCGTATGCAAAACATGTTGCCATTCCTCCACCAAATATACAATGAACCAATGGTCTAGCAGTGTATCTAAAAAAATTGAAGTTTTACAAAAGTTGAAGCAACATAAGGCTAAATCAATCAGTAAATTATATATGTTATGTGAGTTTGAATCTATTTGGCCATAAGCCAAAAAACGTTCTTATTCAAATAGTCCTAAAAATATTTCCAAAATGAGTCTATGTTCAACAAACAAATGGCACAATTCATTGGACAACTATAATGATTGAATTTTGTAATGCAGAAAACAATTTAAAAAAATTTATTTGAGATTTCTAATGAAGTCTATTTTGTCTGAATGGCATGATAAATAATAAAATTTGTAGAACAAGAATTTTTCAATGAAATACAATATTCCAAATTATTCCTTAAATCAAGACCTAACTATATCAAATACAGTATAATTGTTTTTGAACGTATTCGGATTATCAATATCATTCTCAGCTGTTCATCAACTCAATAATGATAATATAAAGAAGATCTTTCTAATAGACATAAATATAGAAAAATTCCAAGATTAACAAAGACTATGGACTGAATGACGACAGGGTATGCAATCCCAATGAAATATTTATAGGGAGACGAACCAATTTCAAACTGAATGAGACATTATTTTAGCGAACACCATCAAAAAAGATCAGACTAGAAAAAGTGTTTCAGAGAAAATAATTGATAAACAAAAAGGAGCTGCAAGTTATCTTTCCTTCACTAATATAGGGATGGTCATATTATATGTACAGTAATTTAATTTCCTCTCCTCAAATTTACACATACAAATATGTGGAAAATCATCATAAAATCACGATTTCGTGGCACATCAGTCAATTTTCTCAGTAAAAATACTTAATAAAAGATACGTAGACGTAAACAATGAAAAAGTAATTAGGAAATTTATGAGTTCTATTTCTCTCATCAGCCTGTAATTGAAATCTGATATTTTCATCACTAGCACATATTATTTGAGAAACAAACATTAACTTTATATGTATCACCGAAATGGCGGTAAATGTTTTCTTGCGAGTAACATTAAATGATACCAGTTTTCTCACCTGTATACAAGTTGATTACTGCATGTTTCATCAAATGCGTAATCGAATCGAAATTTCTGATTTTCTAAATATTTAGTCAAATCAACCTTTGTCTTTGGTTCACTCACCTGAAATTCGAAATAAAATTCATTGTAATATCATTGTTCTATAATATATATATATATAAATATGTAGAGAAATCAGTTCTTAATCTTTTAAATTCCTATACCTAAAATAGATTTCTTATCCACTGAAAATGATATCAAAAGTTTTGTTCTTTCTGAAAACTTTCTAATGAACATTGCTAACTTTAATAAAAGTAGGAGTAAGAAATAACAGGACTATTTATGGACTACAGTCACACATAATTCATTAAATTTGAAAATTTCAGTGGGAGTCAATGCCCAAGTAAACTTAGTCAGCAGTGAAAGTGAAATGTTCTATTGGTTGTCTCAGTTACTATTTTCATAGTTCACATTTATCAATAAGAAAGCATATTCTTTCAAATTTGCGCAGTGATTTACATCATTGACAACCATGAGTCAAGCATGAACCACGAATAAACAGATTATAATATTGATAATCCTCTAATTTTTTGAAACTTTTTCAATAAATCGACCTGATTTCCTTTTACACAAAACATTTTACCAAAAGTATATCCTTGCTTGGTATAGTTATGACATCAATCTCCTTGCGAGAAATTTCTTTTCTATTCAATGGTCGTTTTCTTACACAGACACAAATTCTTGTATCTACAACAGGATCTCCAGGTGCCAGTGGTTGCATTTCAAGATTTTCTCTGAAATATAGAAAATTTCTTGTTCGAATGATTACTAGTCATGAAGAATATAATATGAATACATATTTTATTTTAAAAATAAGAATGCATGTATATGAAATCTTACTCTTGAACACATTGACATTGCACTTATGAACCTTATTGTCTCAGATAAATTTGTTGGATATTCATTCTTATAGATTATTAGTCTCAGTTGCTATCCAGCAAAAACGCACAGATAGGGACAAAGCAAATACTGCCATCCCCTTTCAGAATTGCAAGAAATTATGCATCACTGACCAATCTACACAGTAGAAAATAGAGATGAAGTAAAAACCAAAGCAAACAGCCAATGACTTCAGTAAATGAACAGAAATTAACTTGACTTTTGACTATATTTTAAAAAGTATCTATCAATTCTGAAGGCTTGTGAGTTGTGACTAACCTGTATTCTCTGACCATAATAGCAAATTCCCACATTGGATTATTTGGATCGTAAAATTGTTTTTTCAATTCTCTTTCTTTTATTTGTGCCGCCCTACGTTCCTCTCTTTTTTGACTGATTTTTTCAACTTGATCAACAACGGTTGAACGACGAGGTCCTTAATTATAACAATCAGAAATTTGATTGTTTAATCCATGATGATGATAAAAATATTTGTAGTCACAAAGAAGAGTTTCAATCAAATTTTACAAAATCAATTTTTTGTAAAATATTAATATATAATGGCTAAATCGGAACAAAAAATATTAAATTTAGTAACATGAACCCCTTATATGGCCAAAAACAATATAGATTAGTAGATTAATATAGCCAGTAAAAAGTCGGACAAATCCAGCATCTGTGTTCAGCTTAATTTTCCCTTGGGATATGTATTGTAATTTCCTGTCAATGACATTTGGCAGAAGCAGTTGCGCTCCAGTTATTACTTCAGTTCCAGAGTGAAAAAATACATTTAGTGACAATATTATATTGTTAAAAACTACATTCTTTCAATGTAAAAATAGATTTTTTTTGAAAATATTTATTTTAATTGATAAAAAAAAATTAAATATTATTTATAAAGTGGAAGTACATCAAATTAACTTTTAGTGTCAAGCTTAGTTGATTGAAAATTATTTAGGAAAAGTCATATTCGTCTCCAAATCAATGTATGCCTAATGAAATATTCCCTGACTGCTGCTCCCAGAAAAATATCAAGGGAACTCTGGCTCGGCAATAAGCGTTGAAAATATGCTCATCACTGCCCCAATATGCATGGGATCTCAAGTTCGAATATTGTGGAGATAATTATGTGTGATACGATTGCTGAACTCCTCACTGCTGTAGAATGGTTTACGTTTACATCTGAAAACAAATAACTGGCTAAATAATTCCAAACCCGACATGGACTGGTGGTAACAGGTGAGGTTGGCCATATGAATGAGCTGTCTTATCGTTTTTCTCCTCCCTCCCCTTGTTATTAAATATGTAAAATCCTATCCTATGCTGCACTCATTAACTTGAAAAACAAGAAAAATATTTTGAACAAGGTTCACATACTCGTGGGTGCCTTTGGTGGTGGCATCTCCGTTGCGGCCGATGCTTTGGAAGCATTGACATTTTGTTCCATAACAGAAGGAGGGGCTGCAGTTGGTGTGGGAGCTTCTGAGCAAGGTTGTGGAACTCTAGTCTCTCTCTTGACACGAGTTGGACGACTAGGTGCTGGTAAGAGAGTACGACGAGAATCTGCTTTAGCTTCACTCTACATATTAAAAATTAAAAAATAAAACTTTTATTAATTGGGAGGAAAAATGTGAGCAAAAAAAACATGAATATTCAGCTTTTGGAGCAGAATGCCCAGTAGTATAATGGGCTTTTTCTCTTTTTCAATTTCAAATTTGCAAGTGTTTTGCAACTTTATTTTTTTCATTCAGATTAGGCTCTGTGCAGTATTTCAAACTCTTCAAATTCAATTTGATATAAAGAAGGGAAGGGTTGTATTTTGACTGAATTTTTTGAAAATTATCATTTTGTATCCATAGTTCATTTTTGAATTGAAATTTGAAAGTGAAATACTCCTAAGATAATTTTCAGTGTTTTCGAAAAATAGAGAATAACCATTTTATGAATAAAAAAGAGATTAGAAAGTACTGCGTAATATTAAAATAGGAAAAATACTTTGATATAGTAGATGGTTGTGTATATTGCCCAATCTGTATAGATTATATCGAGAATAAATATATTGTTAGACTGAGAACCACAAAAATCTTGATACAGTTGAATAAATAAAATATAAATCAATTCAAAAATCTACCCGTGTTGTAGGTCTGGTAGGCTTTTGTTCTTCACTCTCATTCATATACTCTGGATTTAATTCAAATACACTTTCCAGTTCAATCTAAATGTTAAACACAGATATATTTCTTGTTAATTCTCTATAGTTATAAAATGAGAGTTCATGGACAAGATGAAAAATTCAGGCGTTCACATAAGATTTATATATCTGAGATGTTTCCAGAGTGCCAGATAATTTGACAACTATTAGAACGAACTCAGTTATATACTGAATAGGATTGATACTAAATTTCAACAATGTTAGAATTTTTGTATACAGCTTATTTAGGCTTTGCACAAACAGCGGGTCTCCTGAAATACATGCCCACAAGTACTTCTAGTTGGCCTGGCTCAACAATTCTTGCATATGTCGTTCCTAATCCCCGACTAAGTCATCCGCAAATTACATCACTGCGAAGTGGCAGTGACGCAATAAGGTCCTTCAAAGTATACGGATGGTCGCCTGGAACGCGCAGACAATCATCTGAAGTCGAGCAAGCTATTTCTCTCGTTTCTCGATACCGTAAGTGAGATATCTCCGACGTTAGTAAATTCATTGTAGTCGGCACAGATGGCATTTCGAACGATCACATCTATACTTTAGCAAGCTCTATGACATGATTGTGACGTCGTTGGGACGTAATTTTTGGATGACGTACTCAGGTGGAGGTTAGGAATATCATAGGCAAAAATATGCAAATTATGCTACGCCCACTAGAAGTACTTGTGGGCGCGTACTTCAGGTGACCTCAAACGACCACAGCAGGCAAGAAGCCATTGTAGTTTGAAAGGGCCGAAATCTTTCCGGTTTTACATTGCCTTCTTCGTGAGGTAGCCGGAATTGGATTTGAACCAGAGATTTTACCTAGGGACACATTTAAACCTAATGCTTTTACCAATAGGCCAGCGTGGTGATATAAATTCGATATGACACAAGTATCAAAACTTTTCCAACCTCTTTGCCTTTTGTTTGTCCATTTTCATACCATTCTACAGTAACTAAGCCAGGTGGTCCAAGAGTTGTGATTATTGACTTGTGAACACGACCTACAGCAAATGTAAAATAAAATGTTTCACCTTACATACGATGGCCGACGCATGTTAAATTATTATTGAGACAAGCATGGCACATTATGAAACATCTTCCATTATGCTAGATGCCATCATTTCAGAGACTGAATATCAGAACAACCTGGAATCAGAGAACTGAACCATACTGCATTAACATATGCAAGCCATTGACAGTCAGACAGTTCAGCAGTTGGATGATTCGGCTCACATTCCTGTATCCACTCATTTCAGCATTTGAAAGTCTGATATTGGGGCTATCCTGAATCTGTATATTATTACTGTATCAGAGCCAGCATTTTTTCAGTTTTCATTGTATACAGCCAGATTACCATAATTCATTAATTTGGCTTGATTAAGTCATGTAAGTCGAGTTATTTTTAAGGACAATTATTCCATAAAATTTTATTGAAATAAGCTTTGAAGATACACTGCCAGACTGTTCAGCTGTTAACTTTACATGCAATCTGTTTATTTCATGAGTTGAAATTAATTCAGTAATTTCAGAAATCTTAACTGCAAATACAGAAATCTGCTGACACAACAATATTACTGGTACTGTATTATTTAGGATAGGATTTACATATTTATCCTGGGGGAGAGGAAAGCCGATAAGACGGCTTATCCATATGGCGAACCACGGCCTCTCATCCGGTTACCATTCCAAGTCGGGTATGGGATTAGTTATATTGTTTGTTTTCGGAAGCATGGACTTGGTGGTGGAGGAAGCCGTAACCGACCAGCGGTAATGTGAACCACCCAACGACGGCGAGGAGTCCAGCAATCCTCTCGCACATAACCATCCCTGCATGGGATTCGAACCTGCGAACCCACGCAGAGTAATTAGAGGTGCGGTGGCGAGCGTATTCCTAACGCTCAGCCCGTTGAGCCACACCGCCGCGCCAATTTAGTTTTAAAATCTTGATTCTGTTATTTCAGAATTTATCAAGAAATGCATGAATGAACATAGTCTATTTCTGTATTTTATTAATTTTCTGACTTACCATTGCTTCTCCGGATGTTAATATTTGTTCCTTTTGCCAGGGTGCCATAATCATCTGGCGAATCTGCCATGTTGCTCTTCCCCGTAAACTTGGGTTTTTTCAAATGAGGCTGCGCCAGTTCTCTGGTTCTTCTAATAAAATGCTCCGAGATGAAATAACGATACCGTAGTCTAGAACAATATTTGAACCCACAGACCGACGCGCTGGCGTGTGGGAGTGGTTTATGAAGTTACAGAATCAGTCTAATATTTGCGGTCAAAAATATCCTACCTACTGACTCATAATATTGTACTACAATCGCAGAACTACGCCCGGAAGTAGGCTAGTAAAGCAACGCCATCAACCAAAAGAAATGCGCATAACGCGCTCGAAAAATTTGTTAAATAAGCATCTCTCTATCGCTCTCGGTGTTCACAACAATATTCAAACTTATCACGCATGAGTTAGAATCTGTTAGATCAGAGACAAAATGAACGTACATGGTAATCGCACAATTGTGGATAATTAGGTCTTTCATCGATTATATTATTAGTGGCAAGCCAATTTTGTGGGCTGATTGAAACAAAATCACAGCTATATTACAATTTTTCAAGAAAATTTTTCAGAACCTATCTCTGTTATGCAGGCCATTGGGTTAATTCGCTTCCATCCCCGGCGTATAAGGAACTCGCCATCTCAGCTTTTTAACAACTTGTGCTCGTGCAGAAAGGTCATTAGAAATTTCTATAACGAGGTCAGACTTCCCCAGACACATATTATTCAAGTACACCCATTGTCTAAATGTGCATGCATTTTATCTTGTTGTAGGTAAATGTGTGTGTCCGAGGAAATATGACCTTGCTCAGACAAAATGGTAACGGAAATATGTTTGTGTTAATGTGAAACAAGACCTTTGAATCAGTTAGGATAGTTATCTTCACTCTTGCTACATCATCCTCGCATTATATGCATAAAAATCCGCCGACATGAAAACATAGAACAAGAATAAGTAGTTAGTCCCGGGGACACATTCATTTAAGGGCAATCACCCCCGATGTAACTATACTAACTGTGAATAGTTTGATTAAACTTTCGAATCGCCGCCGTCTCGTTTTCGCCGCCGTCTCCTGTAATTCTGACATATGTCTCTTTTTTCTGAGTTGTGTGTGACAACTCAGTGAATTCTATGTTTTCAATAGTTTATGTCCGGCTTCTGAAACTGAACTCAGGTTGTGTACCAGGTTAGGGTTCAGGTTATGCTACATCTTGGTGCGCATACTTCAGGAGCACCACCTTTTGGATATATTGTATGATCTTATATTTAACAAATTTTATTACATGCATCATGATCAGGCCTGTTGATATCGTCAAAGAGCAACGAAGTCCGTCCAAGTTGGGACTCCGGACCCAGCTAAAAAAAAACTGGATCGCGTGGCGCTAAATCGTCAGTTACGGGGTTCGTTACTGCTGTCACATCGCCGACGCTTGATAATAGATGTGTGTTTTTAATGGAATAAAGGCACAGAACGTCTCTTCAAATGAGGAGTTACTTAACGCGAGCTTATGGTATGAACTTTGGGTAAAAATCGCAAACCATCTCACCGGCTTGGTCCTGTCTGTACTAGAGATGTATCGGTATCGGCAATATCGGCCATTTTTTAGGTATCGGCCATGTATCGGTTTCGGTGAGATTAAGGCCGATATTTCAGATATATTTACCTTTTTGATATGGTCCAGAATGTTTTAAAAGATAAGTTGGAATACTACTTTTTAATTTATTTTTTGTTTGGGGAGATCGTGAGCTATGAGCCATACATGTCCCCACCCCGTGAGGGAATAGGATTCACGTGTTTTTAACTATTTATCAGCCAAACTTGCTCAACTAATTTGGCTATTTTCGCCGTCAAATTTTTATTTTGACATTTTTATTACTACATAGTAATTATGAGGAAATATATATATCAACACAACACATAACAAAAAGCAACTAGGCGCCCAGTTTTAAATCATACAGTGGAATTGGGGTCCTTGTTAACGGCACATGGACTTTGGTAACGGGTATAAATTCTGACTGTTTATCGTCAAGTACGGGTGTCATTTAGTGACTGTCGACATCGATAAACTAAATTCCGACACAATTATCCCTCTACGCAGGTATTAATTTTAATTTTGTTAAACTACACAATTTCTTTATAGATATATTGACATGACCGTCTAGCCAACCTTTTTTCTTTTGTGGCCCATTTTTGTTGCACAAAAATTCTGTGGCCCACCAAGATTCTCATGGGAAGGAAAACTTCAAGAAAAACATAGAATTCTTTCTGCGGAAATAGACATTTTCAGTTTAATAATAATTAGGTTACAACCTTGTAACAAAAAACTGCATTATTCATTGCTGCTACCATCAAATTTAACAATTTAATTAATTTTATCGACAATTCTAGCAATTTTTAATAGATCCGTGGCCCACCTGAAAATGTTCTTGTGGCCTAGCAGTGGGCCATGGCCCACTGGTTGAGAACCAGTGGTCTAGCCCTAGACTGTCTCAAAATATATGATAGCAATTGTAAAATATTAAAAAATAGTAAAGCAAAAAAACATCCTCGACGGTTATAGGTAGGCCTTCTTTTTGTCGGTGCTGATTGATATTCTTTCATGTTGGCTTTGACTTATTGCGTCGAAGATTACGATTAGCCATGAAATAAAATATTTGTAAAATGCTTTTAATTTGAACGTAGGACGGCGGCTCTAGAATGTGTGGGTAATATTCGATATTCTTTTAAACACGAATAACGATATTCGAAGGTCGCGATATTAACATCAAATTCAAATTGGACATCCCGACTTATGAGTTTCCTAATTGAACACCGAGATTACTAGATCTTAATCAGTTAAACAAACACCAAACAAATGAAACAATAATTTCAGATTATGTGATATATCTTTTTTTTTCGATCTGAAATAATGTGTACTACGAACAACGCTCAAAGACCATTGTTTTAACCCGTCTGTCCTACACAGCACACCTAATTAAGCAATAATTACATAATATCGGTATCGGTAATATCGGCATTTTTGTTGTATCGGCGTATCGGTATCAGCGTTTTTAGCTGGTATCGGCGACAAAAGTGGTATCGGTACATCCAATGTTCCCTCTTATTTTTGTAGTATGTGTGCGCAGAAATTTTAGTGTGTGCGCACTTTTTTGGAAATGACTAATATTTGTGCAAAAACCAATGAAGAAATTTTGGCGTTCTAACCAGTAATAAGTGGGCCAACAACAAACTTTCTTAACCTGCCGAGAACATTGTTAACCGAGGACATTGTTACATTACATCGAAATACGTCTGTGCGCAGTAAATCTATGCGTGTGCGCAGCCTCTGAAAGCTGTGTGTGCGCGCACACTTTAGAGGGAACACTGGGTACATCTCTGTTTTACATGTTTTATTCCCATTGTGGCACCGTCTTGACGTTCATATTACAACATTGAAACTCCGTGATTTTAACAAACATGACTCCCGACATCGGGACTAGGAAAAGGGCTATTCCCAGTTGGAATAGCTTAAAAATAACTCAAAAATGTAATAAACACAAATATCTGCCAATGATTTAGTGCACGCTAAAATTGTTCTTCGGGCGCACGGAATGTGTCGGGGGCCGCATGCGGCCCGCAGTTTGGACCACCCTGCTTTAGATGAAACGCAATTTTGTGATCGTTGATGTGTACTATATGCCTTTAAAGTTTTTGAACATGTTGGCTTAAGGAACAAAGGTCAACTCTTCTTCCTCACCGCTGCCAGATTTTCCTTTGAAATGCTAATAAATCACTCATGTTCGATAAACTCGGTTCAGCTTGCCGTGACTGATTTTCTTTTTGTTTCTTTTTGTTAATGTAAGTTTGCCTAGGTGACTTGCACTGAAGTCCGTTATCTGATCATTCAAAAACTAAATACAAACCACTAATGAAGTACCAACATCACATCAATTCACGTCGGTACTGGTGGGACAGCCGTCATTGATGTTAAGCAAGATTCTAAGCGCAAGCAAAAAGCATTTTTGCGAGTGAAACGTTCTTGGTGTGTAGGCTATGTTATACAAGAATAAAGTTTATAACACGTGTTAGTTCACCAGAATTAGTAAGCGACTCCTCGGCCATTGTATGTGATAGAAAAGTACGTGGGGGACAGGTAAGACGTCAAAAAATAACCCAAAATAGACTTGATGGCGAGCCGGACAGAAAATTGTTACGGCCACGGCAAAGCATTTGGGTTTAATGCAGGTATTTAAAGAGAATGTAAACAAATGCAAACACGTTGTGAATTGTTGAGTTTTGCCGGTTTTCCAGGCATTTCTGTAACAATTTTGTTCGTTTCATCGAGTGTTGTGTTTTCAGAATTCCAAAATAAATTGTATTGTACACATATCTCGGATTTGAATCGCTACTTGCGGAACACGATTGAAAACCATTGGCGTATAGATAAGCGCATCGTCTTTACCGCGTGAAACAAGGAATTGAATCATGAGCAACATCCGCAATGTCTAAACTTAAACTGATTGAAGCCAGATAACCAAATGACGGGGATAGGCGGCATCGTGCTAAACGTTAGGAATATGCTCATCACCGCACCCCTTGATTACTCTGCGTGGATCGCATCTTGTGCGAGAGGATTGCTGGACTCCTCGCCGTCGCGGGGTGGTTCAAGTAACCATCAAGTCCATGCTTCCGAAAAGAAATAACTAACTAATCCCATACTCCACATGGAAACCGGACGAGAGGCCGTTTTATTGCCTTTCCTCTCCCCCGGGATAAATATGTAAATCCTATGCTATTGCATTGTTTCATTGATAGTCTGGCGACAAAGACACGGGTAGCACCCCTCCCGGTGTTCTCTTCATTGTTTGTCTCGTCGCGATGCCAGGAATTTTTTTTCTAATATCGTGTCAAGCGGTTTTCATTAGCATTTTGAAGTAATTTGGAATAGAGCAGTCTAGGCATACCAGACTCTTGTACGACTGTTTTTTATCGCCTAAAAACGAACATGACCATGACTCTGATCTGAAAGAAGCATATATCAAATGTGTTTATTTCGCGGGACGGCGACCAATTAAACACTGATAACTTCATAAACTAAAATCAATGAATGATGCCCAATCCAACATTCTTATAACTTCAAACACTGAAATCCTCCTTTTAGTCAAAAAATCATAAATAAGACATTATTAGAAGCTTTGAATATCCAGTAATGCACTGGCTTCAAACAACATAAACAAATCAAATGCAGAAAACATTTATAGGGTGTTGCAAGACCGAAGTATGCAAATAAAATATCCAGACATCAAAGACCCACAATCTAAACCAATCTTATTTGTTGGAAATACTGGTAACTATGGTTTGTATGCAGCCAATCAGTAATGCCAATTTTATTGTATATATCAGAACCAAGGCCAAATGAATATCTAAGGTTGCAGAAAAATTCCATCTGAAAAAGTAGATGGTAGAAATATTTTTGCAATAAATAGCACCATGATCAAATCAAAAAAGCCCAAGAGAGTTGTAAAATGGATTCTACATAAGCTGATGCAGCTTATAAGATGCATATTTATGTATGAATATGAATGAAAGTATCATCCAAACGAATAACGATACATATTTGCTATTTACTACCACTATCATAATGAAGAAGAAAATATTTGCTAAAATAAACATTTAAAAACATTACAATCAGGCATTAAACTAGATTTGGGCGGTAACATCAACTTTTTTATTTAAACACTGCGATAGAAAATACTGCTTGCAAAATAGCGACAATGAACCAGAAAAAGTAACACATATTAATGAAAGCTGTGGCTGGCATCGTTAGTCACTCAATACATCATAGTTTCAAGTCAAAAAATCTATGGCAGAAGCACACTGATTTTTTTAAATTAGTAACTAGGCGAAAAAGGGTCTTACATAAGAAGTACAGCAGGTATCTGCCTCGGGATATGTGGACTCTGTTAAATTTGTTAAACACCTTCCCAATAACACTTTTAACAATCCCTGTTTAGGTTTGAATCGAGATATAATACAAATTTTGAGGAAAACAGTTTTTAAATAATATCAGCAGGATTGTTGGTACTCCCATAGTGTGTGTACCAGGTTAGGCTTAGGTCATAATTTTATTCTGATTTTCCTTATCCTAGTTCTACTGTGAGTTCAGGGACTGTTGGTGTTGGCCAAGTGAACACACACCCTGCCCATAGGATTCCGTTCCTTTACACAAGTTGATGCAAAGTAAGCTAACAAAATTAGTTAACTCCAAATTGATACACACACTTCTGGAGTGCAGGATTGTGCACATGAGGTTATTTTATTAAAATTTTCTGACGATATCCACGATTTCCTCAAGCGATGCCATAGCTCACAATTCATATGAAAAGTAAGATTCGTGTATAAGAAATAATTAGGATAGAGAAGAAATATGGTAAGAATATAAAAATAATGAGTGAAAATATATCAATAACAGAAATCAACGATAATATTATCAGATAATGTAAATAATATTTAACTGGGAAAGGCAATTTGGGCTATGGATGGGAATTTACTAAAATTATGCAAACAATAAAAGCATTAATATGATGAGAACGTGGTTGGCAAAGTCAAAAGGAATGGACATTTTCACTTTACACTGATGTTTATATGCAATAAAAGGCTGAATAGACAATATTAAAAGTATTGGCCCATATAAAGTCATATCTAATACTACAATAGGTGGCCACCAGTCTATGCTTTTTGACAACATGCCATTTGAACTTCAGTTCTTTATAAATTATATGAATATAATTTTTGGTCACCGAATTCTTACAGATAAAATAATAATAAAAACATCTGACAATATGCATGAAACATCTTGGAACTTTTTATGATCTATTAACAGAATTTTGACAGGGAAAATGATATTGAGGTAAAACATTGTGGCAAAAATATCAGACTGTAGGAATCAATTTTTTTAGCAGGAGTTTCCAATGCTGATACTGATTCAGAGCCAAAATTCAAAATCTGCATACTTAAAGTTTATATTCAAAATTACACGAGACTATAATATTTGTAGAGCATGATTTATGCGTGTGATGGATTATTAAATTTTATATCATCGAGAATGAATTAGCGAATCAAGATGTCTGATGTCGAATCCGACAGCATATTGGGTATCTCCGAAAATATTTTTCTTCTCTACTCTTTGACTTTGCTTTATCAATAATTGAAAATACTTTTATGTGGAATGACAAAAATTATTTATTTGGTCTATTGATTGCAAGCTGAACACCATTTACCAGCATAGAAAAATATTGTGGCCCAATATCAGATTACCTCATAAAATTTCCTAGTTCTCATAGTAAAGATCATTAATACACAAATATAATGGATATAAAGTGAGATTAACCATGACAAAAAAGCCTTTTTCAAACTTTTAAATTATGAGAATATCAATAGAATTTAATAAAAAATACAGATTTGGTGTTAATAAGATTCTCTCACAATTCTGTAGATAAACAAGTTAAGGTAAAAGAAACTGTTAGAAATCTAACTCAGCAAAAAGATATTTCTTCCTCTTCTTCATCGGTGAGAAAAATTTTCTTCTGCACGCCAAGATTTTTTCCATCTTGCTTTGATGCGTTAATATTAGCAATGTCTGTTTTGGCAAAAGACCAAGTTTGGTTCTTATTAAAAGGTGGAGTTCTTCCTGGGATATTGGTGGGATGGGAACGAGTAGGACTGGCAGATGATTTTGATTTTGTGGTCGGTAATTGTGGCAAACGTCTTCCTGTAGTAAGAGAAGTTTTCGTTTTAGAATCATCTCGTGACTTGTATGCTGTAGGATGGATCAGAGAAGCGATTGAGCTACGTTTTTGTCTTGCCTGTGGGACGGGATCTGTGGATGGGAACGCAGCAACACTCGCCCTACGCGTATCTATCTCATTCAAACTGGAACTACTGATGTCATGTTTTTCTGGATGTGGACGGCTTATTATACCAGTAATATTGGTACTTCGTGGTCGATGTGGGGATACTGGTTTTGCGGTTGCTTTGTGAATCTCTGGTATGTCCGGAGCTTTATTTTTATCAGACGACCTTCTTTTTGACTTTGAACGAACCGGAGCAATAGGGATAAATTCTCCAGATTCGTTTAATTCTGTTCCTTGTCCAGGACTCCTGGCTCGTGACTGGCCCGTCTCCGGTGGCGATAAAGATGATGGTGACGTATGTCCCTTCGTAATGGTGTGCCCCTGGTCATCTGAAGTGGCCCCAAGTCCAGATCTTCGTCCGGAAGGGAGTGTCGACGGTCTCGATTGGTGGCTTGTTGTGTTGCCGGGGACAGGGTGTGGTTCGTTGGCAGTTGATGGCGTGTCTGAAATATCGACTCGAATGGTATTTCGTCCATTAAGGAAATCACGGAGTCCCTCTGAAATCAGAAGAAAAATTTCATTTTTCATATTACCTCATTTTAACTTTGCATTAAAGATTGGCCACCTCAATTTAGTGTTTACGTGCCGGGCATGCTCTTATACATAAATAGCGATTGATCATACAAAGTTACTAAAATTGGAGCATGCGTTGTCCATGTCCTTTTAGTATACAAATAGCCAAGAAGTGCAAGTGCAGTATTGTGCATCTAGCAATTCTTTTTTTTTTTTTCGCTAGGAAAAAAAAATTTATCCTGCGTCACCTTCTATACATCATGACAATATATTACACAAGAAATAATTACATTTTCACAAGATTGAAATACATGTCACTGATTATGTCTGGTCAAGCATGGGCAAATGATTACAACATCAAAAAGATGAAAATGATAAGCGGAATGAAGCATAATAAAACCGATAACACAGAAGCATATGCAATACAGTGTATTGAATACACCTGCACGATCAAGTGACAATATCTACAGTACAGATATTTCTCCGCATTTGTAATATCCAATAAACTTGACTAAGAATATAGGCTATGTAGAATTATAGTGGTTCTCTTATTCCTGGCTTTCAAAGTTTAAATGAAGACCTCTTTGATTTGCGCGAGAGACTCAAAATTTTTCATATAAAAAAATATTGTACTATACCATTCCTGAAATCAAAAATATTAAAATATATTGAATATTAGATTTTGGTAACTCCTGTTTCGAAATATTATTGATATTACGAAATTGATTAATGAAAGCGTACAATAAGCATCGAGTAGTTTTTAAAACATGGCAAGACCAGACATGATCATCAACCAAACACAAATTAAAAACAAAACAATTCCATACCTCCCGAAACACCGTTCGGGGAAGATCTCTTCGTTATACCAGAGCTATGTGAAATGATCGTTCTCCCGCCTACAAGAGCAGAAAAAAGCAAATCACCCTGATGCTTGCTTGGTCACAATAAGATGCAAAATATTGGCATTACAAATTCAAGTGGCAGGAGACAATTTTCAATATTATTTTGAGCGTTCTACTTATACACAAACCATCTAGGATTCATTTTTACTTATACAATTTTTTTGAATGGATCGAGTCAAAGTATAGCTATAAATGGCGATTGTGATCAAATAAGTATAAAATTTAGAAATTCCAATTAACAATGACAAAAATTTAACTACGCTTCAATTTTTATTGTTAATATGACTAAATTTGTTAGCGGGCACACACAAAACAGGAAGAAAAAATTCCAATGACCCAGAATTATATTAGTAATCAGACCAAAACACACAAATTTCAGTAAAACAAAAATCTTGAGTACAAAGTTTCTGCATCATTGGTAAAACGTGATTCCATGAATTATGATGTGACATTCCATGACATGCAAATTGGTTAACGATTGTTTAGCATAAGTTAATAAGTATCTTTCAATTTATTTTCTTTTTGATAGAAAAAACAAAGCCCTTCAATTTTGTTTTTTGGCTTATTTTGGTCCTGAACATATCTGAAACTATGTGTGCGTTGTAGAGGCATATCCACTTGCAAATATATGAAAAAATAATATTAACAAATGGCTATTTGATTGCTCAAATCAGAAGATTTACTCTTAAACACAAAAGGAAATATGATTCTAATTAGTCGACAATTAATTATTCCTTTCAATCAGGACCAATTATCTTAAATATTTCATCAACGAGGTGAACAATACATAAAAATATCATGCTATAGTGGCAAAACATCAAGAAAGTTTTTTTGTTGTTTCAATGATCTCATTTAAAAGTATATCTACGCAAGTAAAATTTTGTGGCCATTCGTGTGTGACAAATAAAAAATGATGTCTCGTTAGTAAGTCATTACTCACCGTCAATCATATTCATGCTACCATTCGATTGGCCGATCTGCTGCAGAGAAGGCGGAGCATGCAGTAGTAAAAGAAACATACAATAAGGTGCAGGCTAACAGTGAGGAAAGGTCTGCGATAATAGGTTCTTATATACGCAGCAAACATAAAAATGTGACTTTCAGCTAAAATGTTGCATTGTGATGCGATACTAATGAACAATAAAACAAAGGGTGCACAAAGGGGAAAGAGTTTTGTAAATTGAACCTTACTAAGCCTAAATAAATATGCCAGATATGAAAAATTAAAATTAGCATTTATGGATATGGTGCAGAGACAACAAAATTTTACAGATACTTTTATCAATCGTAAAATAATGATATTTTAAATTTAAAGTCCTGCGGCTCATTGTCGTAACATTGTGCAATCAATGATACAGGTATCATACACAGCTATACTTGAAGGCTGATACTTTCGTACTTTTTTTTATATTTTTTCTGTTTATTGTTTTACCCCTAAATTTTCACTTAGTGGATTATTCACAAGTGAGTGCTTGGTTTTGGAGTCATGTGCTCTCTTGTGCTATGTAAGAGTAATACTCTGAATATTCTCATTGTTTAAACATAACGTCTCCACCGAGAAGATGTTTGCAAGCTTCTTTCAACAAGAAGAAAGTCACTTAAACACAATGAATTACATACTATTGATTGAAAATACAGGCATAGGACACACCACAAAATTAAATAGACTTTATGGATAGTCACAGACACAGGCAGGAAGTTAATGATTCAGGGAAATAATGAATTCCAGTCTTCAGATGCAAATATAGTGACGAAGGATAAATTTATCTGAATATTCATGATCTAATGTGGTATTATTTTTCTTTATAATTTTTTTGCAAAAGTGGGCTTGGTGACACATTGTCGTAACAATTTATTTATATTCCATATATTTATACATAAATTTTGAGTTTTGAGGTCTGCCCGTCGTTATTTGCTTCTATATAATTGTAAAATGAACCAACTTTACCCCATTAAATTTAAGTGCATGTGATATTATAATGAGCCACATTAGTTACCACTACCAGTGGCATGCACTCAATACAACTGTAATGGTGAAATTATTTAATTGAGATTCAAACTACTGCAAGAATAACCTTAATTCAGTATTTTTTTTCAATACTGATATATTACAGGATTAAACTGGTTTGAGCATTATAATTCAAACACACAAAACTGAATTCTTGATTATCATACACCACTTCCAAAATGAATACAATGTTCCTAAAGTTTATTTGATTCAAAGATTGTTACAAAACTCAAACTGCATTGCATTTTTTGTTTAGAATTAGTGGGATTCATACTAGCAAACATTAGTCTCTAAAACACACCGCAATGTATTGTTTTATATATAGGTATAGATGAATATTATCGAGACTGGTATGTTAATGAAAAGTTGATAGAACTTACCGCGCTATCGCCAGAAAAACTGTCTTTCTGTCCAGACTGAGCAGAATCCTCCGGCGCAATCGCTGACATATCACCAGAAGATGATGTCGCACTGGTGGAATGACCATCCAGAGTCAAATGCACTTGGTCATTTGCAAGAAGATCGCCGGACGATGATGAGGAGACAGTGGACATATGAGACGGGGGTGGCAGTGATTTTGAGTCCTGGGGCGAGGAAGAGCTGTTATCTGCTGCCTCATGATTGTCTTCCAACTGGAATTCATCAATCTCAACGCTGCTTTGGTTTTTTACTTGATCTGAAGAAAATAGTACCCTACTTTAGATAAAGGAATCCAAAACTGGACACTAGCAGGCCAGAGTAGTTCTCTGGGGGCCATGAGAAAGGGCTTTCATGGGGTACCATTTGGGTTGACTACATTACTTCAAATCATGGGTGGGCAAGGTTTTTGAACCAGGGGCCAAAAATTTCGCCCACCTGGACTAGCAGGCCATGTCAGTCTGACGTAAAAAGTTTAACAATAATTACATTGTCACAACAGCAAATATGGAAGCCTCGTGTTAAAACTAAATTTCATCACAATCTCAACAAATTTCTTGCGTTATTTTTCAGCTAAAGCATCAAAATTTGGTTTTAGTTTGGTTGTGACAGCATCAGGCAGGCCAGATTGAATTACCCAATGGGCCGGATTTGGCCCGCAGGCCATAGTTTGCCCATGTCAGCTTTGAATGTTCGATTCGTAGAAGTATATTATTCTTCTGCTTTCTTTTGTTGGAACTTTTATAATTAAAAATGACACATAAAATACACATAAAACATAAAACACATAAAATACACATAAAAAAAAAAAAATTGTTGGAAACAAGTTGAAAGCAGAATGCTATTATTATTACAAAGCAAAAAACGAGGCACTATAGGATATTACCTTTATTTTCTTCAATTCGAGCTTTTTGAGCATATGTATCGAATATTCGATTCCTGTGTGTGATTAACATTTCTATGGCGTGAGATTGACTTGGCAGATCAAGTAATGATTGTAGCTCTTTTCCAGCTCTGCAACAGAACATGAAAATTACATACATAAATATTGCATTAATTGTTTTATTAGAGATTGGAAATGAAGATTTCAAAAAGTTCCAAAAGTAACTATTTTCGTTCTCAAGATCTGCAATAAATTAGTATGTCCAAATTTGGCATGTATCTGCATTTGAAATTAACTTAAGAAATGGATATGGAATACCGAACTAATTTCAATGAGGGAGAAAATAGAGAAACTTCGTGGAGAAACATACACGTTTGAAAAAAAAGAAAGCAAAATTTTTTTCAACTTATTATTATATAGACCAGAGGTGGGCAAGGTTTCTGGACCTGGGGCCAAAAATTTTGCCCATCTAGACTGGCGGGCCATGTAAGTGTGACGTGAAAGTTACATTTTATGAACAATATTTACAGTCTTACAAAAGCAAAATTGAAGAATGAGACACATGCCAGACCTAAATGTATTCGCAATCTCAACAAATTCCCTGAGCTATTTTTAGCTGAAACATCAAAATTTGGATTTAGTTTGGTTTTAGCATCAGGCAGGCCAGATTGAATTACCCAACGGGCCGAATTGGGTCTGCGAGTTGTAGTTTGCCCATTTATGATATAAACAATTCAAAAGTTCATTCAAAATACTAAAATGAATAAAAAACTTACTCATGGACAGGCCTCAACAACGTTGGTCCAAAAATGATTGCCAGGTTACTTGCAGTCATCTTATTACTATTGTGAAACCCAGCAATTCTGAAAAAATTATGATATTATTTCAATGCAAAAAGATATTAAATATGTAAGAAGAAGAATATGTAATAGATAAACAGTTGGAGGTTATGCAGAGCTGTGTAGTCTAAGCCAGAAGTTCATCGGGTTGGTCTAAAATTTTCAACTGTCTGGAGTGGGAGTAGCAAATTTTAAAATCGGTCGGTATTGCATACTTTCAATGATAATAATAAAATTGAAAATTCACTTCGAAGTTCAAGAGGCATCAAGCTAAAATTAAGCGTTATCAATATCTGCCTTCAAAAAAATGATAAATATTCACCCTTTTCAGCAAGTTTTCATTGGTAATTTGTAAATATTGATAAATTGGTACTTTCGTAGTGTATGTACCGGGTTAGGATTAGGCCACCATTCAGATTTTCCCCATTTTAGTTCTATTACGAGTATGAGGACTATCTGTGTTAGCCAAGTGAATATACCCCCTCACCTCCATACTGGTACACATACGTCTGAAGCGCTGATAAATTTGCTAATTCCCCACTTATTCTTGTCTTGCAAATGATAAAAACAAAAAAGATATGTCATTTCACCTTGACAAATGAGCTACAATAAACTGTAGCGTATTTCGATTAGCGTCAGGTAACTTTTCTATGACATCTCGCATCTTGTCAAGAGTTGCGAACAATCGAACAGTTCTATCTTCTTGTTCTTGCTCAGGGAGTGATTGCACTCGCTCATCATCGAAATCAGCATCATCTCCAGTTTGAGGAGCGGATTCTGCTATTTTGCTTTCTTTGACAACTTCTGTGTATTCCTGGTATAGATAATATAATGAGTAAAAAGTGCACTCATAAAAAAATATAAAATAAGAGAAAAATGATTTTACTTATCGTATTATCAATTGTAAATGAAGAATGAAATGTCTTTTGATAATTGGAGCTGTGAAGTCAGGGCTGGAGGGGCTTTAATGGATATTGAAGTCAGAACAGTAATCGCATAGTAGTAGAAATTTCAAAATTGGGTTCATGGGTGTATGGAATTAACGAAATGCAACGCGCCACGAGGTGTCTGGAGTAAAAAATCTAGCCCTAATAACATGGCCAAATGGCCCCCCAGATGGCAGTATGTAAGTACAATTAGCTAACAAGAAAACATATAACCATAAGTAGCCAACTTTCAATCAGATGGCAATGGTAACACGAACCTTGGCAACCTCTAGAAACTCATTATAGAGTCGATGCAATAACAACGGTTCAGGTAATTGACGCAGGAAAAATTTCAACACTCCACTGACATCGTGCGGCATTTGTTCAGAAAGATCAGCTCTTGCACAATTCGGAGAGTCAAGCAATGTACATAATTTTTCCACCCTGTTTTTGACGCCATTGACTCGATAAATTCCCTGAAAAAAGTAATTCAATTGTATTTATGTTTGTGGCTAGTTGTAAAAGTGCTGTAGTAGAATTGATATTGACAATTGAGATTTGGGTTGTACTTTCAATCAGTTGCAACTAGTGCTTGTGGTTATAAAAATATTCGGTGCTCCAGAAGTATGCACACCAAGATGTCGCACAACCTGAATCCTAACCGGTACACACATACTATGTTCAGGTTGTGCGACTTCTTGGTGCACATACTTCTGGAGGTCTAAAGCTAAACACAATATGTAATGAGTACAGGGGTGTGGTCAAGGAAGAGTGAATGTCGGAACCGAACCCCCTTTTGCAACGTAAAAAATAACCACTTTTCTGTATCATACCTAACATTTTTTCATAGCTTAAAAAACTTTTTAGACCCTCTCAAAAACACACATTTTCCGCCCTCCAGAGCCGCTAGCTGTAACAGTCTAACTTGGCAATTAAAAATTTCAGGGCCATCTATTTAAGAAATTATGTTGTATATTCATGAAGGATTAGATTAGAATAATGCCCTTAGAAGTCTATAATATCGCTGTATAAGGTTATAACATAATATGTTCATGAAGTCCGGTTTCATACGTTCAATTTTGTTATGAAGTTGGTTCTCGATATATCTTAACCAGGTTTGTTTTATTTCAATCAGTGTATATTTAGTTTTTTTTTTTACTTCATTCATTTAATACAACTATGGGGCCAACGGATAGAGAGACAATATCGATAAATTTTCTTTGGAATATTAAAAAAATTGTCCATAGTATGAACAAAATGTCATAGAAGATCGAAACCATACCTTAACAGTCAACCACCGGTTATCGATTTCAGCAACGCATCTTTTAATGAGAACTGGGATGCCGTCCTGTGAATCAGTTGCTGCAATAGAGAAGTCAACACCAAAGACCGTGGCTTTAGGATTTCGTTTCATTCCTTTGAATGCTTCCTTAACAATTTTCATCATTTTAGGCATCTGAATCTGGGATCGTAATGGTGCAGGTGATGAATCTGGTGACCATGATGTGATTTCTGAAAAGGCAAATAGTGCATAGTGACATGTCATTCACAGTGTTTTTTAAAAATTATGAACAAATAATATGGTGTGGTGTTTTAGTTTTTCAACGAACTCAAAAAATTACTAATAACAATTCAAATTTGAAATACATTCCCAACAAAATTATTATTGATTAGGGAATACTTGACATATTCTAAAATGGGTCCTGTTTAACATACATGAAAAATAACTTTTGCATCACAGAAAAAAACACAAACTTTTTTCTCACACATTTTCTCAGTTTAGATTGCCTGCAGTTACAGAAGTTTAATGAATCGATAATGGCGTCATAATCATAAAGGAAAATTATTCTAAAATATTTACCAGAAAATA